AATTTTTCATTTTGTAACTAATATTTTATATCTAGGTAAACAGAAAAGATAAAAATTTTTTTATAAATATCGTGAAATCATAAAATTCAAATACATTTTTAATTGAGGAAATCCCTTATTTATAGGTAATTTATTTTTGAATCTCCATTTAATTCGCTAAAGACAGTCTAATTAATGTTATATTTAGCTTATATAACTTTGTTTTTGGTTAGTGACTGGATTGGCGCCACCCAGATTTTAATTTCGCCAGTAAGGATCAAGATCTAATTTAACTAATGAACTTAATGATTAATACCTTAATAACCTGAGTTCTATGTGAGCGATTCTTCTTATAAAATAAGACTTGGAAGAAAGGTATACTACAGGTTAGCAAAAAAATTATATTCCAATAATATATTTTATGAACCAAATCTAAGTTAATTAATCATTATATAAATTTATTAAGATTATAAAAAAATTAAAAACTATATCATAGAATCAATCTTATACCTATTTTTTTAAAAATATTATTCAATTAATATAATCATAAAAATATATGTTTCGAAATAAAATAGTCACTATTTTCAATTATCAAGATATTGACTTCGCTGTAACATCTTCGCGAAGCGAAATAATTTTCGCGATAATGTCTTTGCTATTTTGGTTTCGCAATAATGACTTTGCTATAAAATTTTCGCCATTATTGATTCGCGATAAAAGTTTTACTGTTTAAATTAAAGGTTTCACGATAATTGTTTCACTATAAAAATTTGCGATATTTGTTTTTTGATATTGTCTTAGCAGGGTATTCGCTAATGTGGATTTATCATCACAATAAAATTTATTCCCGATAGATGACATTCGAGATAAAAGTTTTGCTGATTTACTGGAACCAACACAACTAAATCTAAATAAAAAACGCCATATTCCAAAATTATCGTTAACTGTGTAAGGAATAAACATTTCCTCGTACAACAATAATTTTTTAACCTCCTCAAAAAATCTTATTTCTCCTTGGTCTATCGCCAAAGTACTTTCACACTTGAATCTATCTATTGGCGCAGCCATACTGTAGATTCCGAAAAAAAACGCTCATGATAATATACTAGTTTCAGAAAAGATCTAAGTTGTTGTATGAATAGGTTTTGGTGGATTCCAATTAGCCTTCCTCTTTTCTAAATAGGGATGTATATCGATTTATTAATAATAATCCTTAAAATGATGCGAATATTTTTTAAAAAATTGAACTTTTGATTTCTAAGACCAGTCAATCTGTCTAAATCAATTTGGAAGATTTTTGTGTTATCCTCATCGTCGTACTACATCATCTAAATATGCACCAATTAACAATCTTTTAACAACTTATTTATATATCTATAAAATATGTTAGATGCCACTTGATAATCCAAAAGGCAATCATCGATAAGGAAAAAATCCCTCATGAATCCCTATCGTTTAAACTGAAACTCATTTTACTTCCATTTGCAAGTGCGTATCTTATATAATTAACATCATCTTGAATTATCTCTAAAAAATAATCTATAAAGTATGAATAACATGTTGATCATATAATATACACGGATTAAGAGCAACTTTGAGATCAGCGCGAATTCGAATACATTACTCTTGCGCACGTTTATAGTTGGATTTGACCACTGCCCACTGTCATCAGTTTGTCCAATTCTATTTCAATTGCTTTAGAAATGATACCCTACTGGCTGGAAAGATCTTGGTACAGATCCTTTGAATGTATTCGCACAACAAAATCAGGTAAACGCCCCATATTATTATTATCGAAAATTTTGTATTAATCAAATCTCGAATCCGATAATCTATTGGTACGCAATTTTCTTTTATCAAATTCACTATTTTAGAATTGTCCACCAAAACATCCTAACCAAATTCCACATTTGTGTAGTCATAACTTGAAGTGGAATTCCTAAATTAGAAGCTATTATCCAAGGTAGTATTGAATGCCTTTATTTGAGATTTAAAAAAATAACTATCAATATTTTAGCTAGGAAAATATTGCCCATGCCTCGAGATTTCGCTAATAGATGTTCAAACCCTTGTGCCATCAATGAATAAAATCTTCAGGCTTGTGTAATAATTTTTGGATAAAATATTAAGTTGCCATTTTAAAAATCGGAAAGATGTTTCCCAATGGGTTCATCAACAATTTATAATAAGAATATTTGAAATTAAAGCAGGTGTCTGACAGGGTGATGCACTTATATTCGTATTAATGATAGACTATATCGCGAACCCTTTTATCTTTAAATGTTATATCGAAATTTGCCTCAGAAACACAACTTCAATAAAAAACCATAAGAGGCTCCTAACCTGTAGAGTTAGTATTAATAAAATATTAATATCAGTAATTCACTAGGGGGGGGCACAAATGCTAGTGCTCTCCCTAAAAAATTTGAAGAGCCCTCTCAAAATTTTGATTTTTTTTTCATACCACTAAAAAAAGGGTAATTTTGGATAATGTTAGCTAAAAAAAATTTTTTGAGCCCCTAGAGATTGTAAAGGCTAGTGACACCCCTGATTAATATTACGTTTTTATATTGGATATGTGTATACATATATTTGGGATTTGTTATTATATTAATATACAAACTAATGAAAAAAATAATATTTTATTGAATATTAATTTTTAATTCCACATAATAGAAGCTCTTTTATATTCTAAAATCAAAATTTTCAGATATTTCTTATATATCCCAGTCTAAGTATATTTTTTTTATACAATTTACTTGGTAAGCAATCTGATACATTTTAAGATAATGAGTTGTTTTGGCAAATTTCCAATCCTAGAAACATCTTGGCTGGGAATATATTAGCTAAAGAAACCCAGTCGAAGGTTGGGAAAAAGCGTGAGTAATCCTACTGGAGGTCTGTAGGCAAAGTCTCCATAAACCTTTTAACCCATACTTAGAAAAGGACTATACTTAAAAAAGGACTTAGATATAGTTCTCCGTAAACTAATTTTGTAAATTCTAATAAATATACGTTATCTTATGTTTCAGAGTTATCAGGGATTAGTGGCATCTAAGGTAAAATATGTATTCTCATTCGAAGAACAATATTTTGTAAATATATAGTATAACGATTGATAGTTTTAAAGTAAATATTTATTATTTACGATTAAGTTTGGACTTTATTATATAATTTGAAAATTTATAATTAATAAAATTCTTCTCAAAAAAGCATTTGTATATTATATAGTTTAATATATAAAGCAGTTAGATCAATTATTTTTTTTAAAACAAATTATCGTTGTGAATTAATGTATGAATAATACTTTTACAGTTATAAAATAATATCATATAATGTTCTCATTGATCCTTTCTTAGTCCTGATACCTGAATAGAGAAAACAACATCTTTTGTAATAAGAAGAATGACATATTGCCCGACAAGCTTCTCCACAATTACAACCGTCATTAGAATTGATTGGTGATCGATTCCTTAAAACCACAACAGGATTAAGCTTCATATTGGATGAATATATATCTTTAGTAAACGTGCATACTGTCAGAGACAATATAATCAGAATTTCTAGCTGTAGTATCATGTATTTCATTTTTAGATTTGAGCGCTACTTAATTTTTAAAATTTTTTTAAAAAAATATATAATTATTTTAATATAATAATTAAAGAGCCATCATCATCATAATAAGCTAATGCTTTTACGAAATAAATACATTACCATTTATATCATAGGAATTAGGCAACATAGAATAACAAACATATAGCTGCTTATCTTATTATCCTATTTAAAAAATATTTTTTTATTATACGTACTAAATTGTGATTACCATTTATCCCTGATTAAAGTCTATTTTATTAATTATTATGAAACTTTTCGAATTTACCTTCTTTAAAATTGAACATAGTATTTTTCTTATCCAGCACGCCTTTTGTTGTAATAATTTTTTTTACATTCTAAGAATATAAATTGGTTAATATCTTTATTAACAAATTCCGACCACAGGAATGTTATGTATTATTTTTGTATGAAATCTTATTTTTTAAATATTTAAAAGGTAATAATAATTGAATTTTTTTTATACCTTTTTTAGTCGTGAAAATTAAAAGGCCGAAAAATTTATTACAAAATAAATCCTTAAAATCTCATTAAAAAATAATAATATAAATATTAAATTAATCCTGCAAAATATACTTCCACATTGGATTAAAAGTCATGTTTATAGCTTTAATGTTATATGAGAAAAAGACCAATTTAAGATGATTGCTTTGAAAAATTATTTATGAAAGAACTAGCAATGGAAAAGTCGAGTATTTACATAATTTAAGTTTTCTTTCCCTTTTCTTTTAATCTATAATAGGAAAAGCGTAACTCGAGGATGAATTAAGTTGTTATGAGGTTTTATATGATGAGATATTAACAGTAAGTGAAAAAGGATTCGTTTCTGAACCATTTTTCATCATGAAGTTAAACATCTGAGAAATGAGAATAATGAATTTATAAGCAAAAACAACTTTTCTTAGAAAGTAAAAACTTAGAAAAAAATAACATAAAATCGCATAAATTCGAAAATCCAGATAAATGTTTTTAAACCCCCCCCTCCCCATCTAGGGCATCACATTTAAACTAAACTGTAATGCCAAAATTTTTTAAACTCCTAAAGGATTTAAGGGCTCGTATAACATCTATCTACAATGATTAATATTTTATTTCTTTGGTTTTATCTCTTATAAAAGACAGTAATAAAGTATAAATACACTATTTTGTTTTGGTTAGATATAATACATTATATTATTTTACATAGTAATTATAAAAATCATTTATATAAAAAATAAAACGACGAAGTAAAATGCAATGTTATATAAAAAATAAAAATTTTCTTAAAAATGTTTCTAAAAAATAATATCATTTTATATACAACTCTAAAAAACAAGTGATCATAATATAAAATTTATAAATTAAATATAAAATATTCTAGTGTAGTTAATAAGAAGTTATTGCAATATGTTTAATTAATTTTTTTTTGATAAATTAAGATTATAAATAATTCATATATTTATTTTTTTACTAATTAGTAGAGATCTCTGATTGATCTCACTCGGTCACAATAATTTTTTTTTTGAATTGTCTATTTAAATTTGTAACATTAAAAAAAAATACTGACTGTTTTTCTTTTTGGTTTAAATTTGTTTTTTGGATCATACAGGCGTTGGGGTAGCTTTAGATAAATAATCGGAATCATCTATACTTAAATCTAGGTAACTTTCAGATTCAACGCTAGCCAATGGAACCATAGGCGAACTTTGAACTGACTCCTCACCACTGTAAGATGAGTTATGTTGTGAGTCTACGGAAATGTTCTTTTGTTCTTTCAGTTCGTCGTAATCCACTCTTATATCTTTGCCATTATAAATTTTAGTGTATTGATTGTCATCATTAAGATTGGCATGCTAAGTTTAAAAAAAATATTTGTATTTTTAGTAAATTTTTTAAGAAAAATTATAAAATTGTTTTATAAGAAATGACTTTTTTAAAGAAAGTCTTTTACTACTTAAAATATCATTTGATTTTAACATAATATATTATAAACTTCATATTTAAAAGTTTCTCCATTCTTGGGCAATTTCCCATTCATTTTTTTTCGGCTTATGTCCTCATTTATAATTTTATCGCGTTCAGAAACAGTTGAAATGACAGATACATTTGTGGAATCGTTTGCATTTGATTTATTTAAGGAAGGCTTGTGTGGACTAAACAAAATGTTAGGAATAAAAAAAATTAAATGGATGAAAATAGTGTTGTTAATAGTTACTTTTGACGCCATTTATAAGTTACATTTAAAAAGAGATTTTAAAACTATCACTTTTACTTTGCACGTTACTTAATAAATTATTTTCCCTAACTCCTTATTTTTGATATAATATTATTATACAAAATAATTTTGACCATTTAAATATTATTATACAAAATAATTTTGACCATTTAAATATTATTATCAAAGAATTTAAATGAAATACAATTTAAATTAAAAAAATAATTTGAACTGCATTATAATATTTATATTTGCATTATAAAAAATTCTTAAACATGACAATACAATATTTAATTTTACAACATTGAACTTAATAAAATTAATTTCTTTCCTTCCTTCTTTCCTTTAAAGAAAGAAAGAAAGAAAGAAAGAAAGAAAGAAAGAAAGAAAGAAAGAAAGAAAGAAAGAAAGAAAGAAAGAAAGAAAGAAAGAAAGAAAGAAAGAAAGAAAGAAAGGGTGTCTTAACAGGGGACTCGCCTTTATTCAAAATAAGCTTCCCTAAGCTAAAAAACGTTTTACAAGAGTATAATTGATGTAAATGAGACATTAAAGTAATTTTAAATTTAATAAACAGTATTTTAAATTTTGGAAATCATCATATAAAGATAATGAATGATTCATAAATACATAACATTTATTAAAAGGTAACTGAAAAAACTAGCTAGTTGCATATATAGCTACATTCTATGTTACAGTTACTGGCTACATTAATTAAGTTCGCGTTACTTTTTCCATAAAAATATAACCAGTTACTTGTAATAGGTTAACTTTTAGCAACACTAAATACGAAATTTAAAATTTTTGAGTTTTCAAGATTTTTATCAATAAGGTAAGTTTTAAAAAAATTAGGTTTTCTTCTCCCTAGTTTAAACTTTTCCTTCATATGTCATTACATTATCTAGGGGATATTTTGAACGGCCAGGGTAATAACATTGTATAATAAAATTATTAAAGGCATACTTGTAAACTCTGTATTTTTCATCATTTTTCGCAATAATTGCTAGCTTTTTATCTGTTGTTTTGTTTTCATTGATAAGATTAATTATTTTTATTAATTATAAATTTAATCATTTAATTACCCATAAATTTTCCCATGAAAATATCCTTATTCTTTCCAAGTGCGCACCACGCCATGAAAAACATCATCAATATGAATAGTACGCTCAGCATTGAGATCAACAGGATTTTTCGAGACATATTTTTGTTCCAAGCTAATTCAAAAATAAATTATTACCAAAAAGAAAATATTTTGTTTTCATACTTCTATAATACAAAGCATTTGAGTCGAAGCGAATTTTTGTATGAAGCGAAGTATTACGTCCGAGATAGTTATAAGCTTCACAATAAATGTAAGGCTCCATAGAGGTGAGATCTTCTTCGATTGAATTCAAATTTCGAAATCTATTTGCCCTGTTCAAAAATTCCTGAGTGATATTGGATATAAATAGCATGGCCGTTTCGGCTACGACAAAATTGCCGTGTTTATTCGAAAGCCACCACATGAAATTAGGACTTGGATTGGCATGCGCTTCACAAATTTTTTTCAAATTACCTCCTTCCCGCAGATATATTATTTTTTCGCTATTTATTTCATCGTTCCTGTATTCTATGATCGGTTTATCTAGTGATTAAAAAAATTTCAAAATGTTAACATTTTAGTTTAAAAATAAAAACCATAATTAAAAGGAAACAATTTCTCTAAGAAAAACACATGACGAACCATCTATTGTAAAAGCTAGGTGATGACCTATCATAATAAAGTGGCCTTTTGCCTTTTACCGACTAAATCAATTACAGTCCGGTCTGGTTTTGGACCGACTTCTCAAGACTGTTTGTTTTTAAAAAAAATTAGTTCGATATTAGCGTATGAAAAATATAGCGGTCCCAGAGTTATATATTTATATATTTTTTTAGAAAAATGAATTAAATAAACAATATGTTATATAGATTTGCGTTTAAAATAAAAATTACATTGTATGTTTAAAGTGACATAAGTTGATGATTCTGTCATTTTTCTCCCCAAAACCTTTTGATATACTTGGCACCAAATTTTTTTGCCATGATGAGTAGGCCTCAAATTCAAGAGTTCAATTCTCGTCATGCTTATGGCCTTTCCATTCAAATTTTTGACCTCGGTGTATTGCCTGATATGGGATTCTAATCCAGATTCCGTGATCCATAAAATCTGACCCTTAGGATTTCCTTCAGCTGCCGAGCAAGTGAGACTGATCCTATTCTTTGTTTGTTTGAGATTATTATAATCGCTTTCAAGGGCATAATTATGAGAAGATTCATTGTTAGACCCTTTATAGATCAGGTTAAGTTTGGCGCCGTCTGATAAATTAGAATCGTTATCGAAAATCTTGATGAATGGTTTTCCATATGGAACTAAAAATAAATAAAATATATTTTTATTAATGTTTAAAATGTTTATAAAAATATTATAAATGCTTATGAATAAATTCTGATGCTAAAGCAGTTATACATATAATTTTTAATGAATAAATAAATAACTTGATCGAATGATATAGGGAATTATTCGTATTCGATTTGAATATTAGAATATAATAATTGTGTCATTCATAATTTTTAAATATAAAATTGAATAAAGAATAATTATAGTCCTTCATTTAAAATAATGAGTTATGTTTATAATAAAGAAAGATAGAAATTTATTAAAATATATAAACTTAATTGGATAAGTTGTGTGACGTTGGAAAAATAACCGTTAGACTTTATCTTATTGTTCCTTCGTAGACCACAAAAATAGTAGCCCTCATCGAAAGCGGAAATATTGGTTATCTTCAAGTCGAAGAGTCTAAAAATGGTGTCATAAATGTGATTGGCGGAAGATTGATTTAGATGCTTAAAAGCTTCCTTGGCTTTAGAAAAATTAGAATCGAAATCGACGTTTATGTGGGAAAAATCTTGCTTTAAATCGCTCGCGGTGTATTGATAATGGTTGATGCTCCAAAAAAAGCTCTTGTAAAGTGTCGCCAGGTCGTATTTGTTCAATATTTTGTGATAATTTTTGCGTTCCAGCAGGCATCTCAGGGTGAGATTTTCTCCATCGAGGAAATAGTACACATCATCATTTTGATAAGTTTGCGGTATGTTTATGAAATCGTTGGCATGGCCCGAAGATGACGTACTATTCGATGTGATTGGATTATGATGGGAGAGCGAAATTAGAATTAACGTTATAACAAGTGATAGGGTAATAGGCTTCGATATAGCTGCAAATATATGTAACATATATAAATAAAAAATAAAATATTATAATAAAAAAAATAAGGCAAGCTATCTAGATGTTTATAATAACATTTTATAGTTGTTTGTTACTTATAAATTATATAGTAAAATTTAAATAAATATTTAAATCTATAAATATATACATGGTTGTGTCTTAAATATTTTATTATTCATAATTTCATATATTTTTTTACACTTTTACATAACATATTATATAAATTCCCGAGTTTCAGGTGCTAATTAAAAGAATTTTATATGCGATGTCACGTTCTCTTTAACTTATTAAATATTATGAATTATACGAAAAATTGTAATTTAAAGGTATAGTAACCCACAAATAGCAGCTTAAAAATCATTTAGTAATTTATAGCGTCCATATTAAGCATATTTATAATTTATATTAATTTATTGTAAATATATTTTTAATTAAAATATACTTTATTTATAAATTTTTTTAAATAGATAAAAATAAAATCATTTCGATTATATGGCAATTGATCTAACGGATTTTTCATTCAATAAGCCAACGCGGATTATATTTGAAATAGTATATTATATAATATGGATTAAAGAAAAATACGGTTTACAAGAAAATATTACCAATTATGAAAGAATCTTTCAAAATGGCAGAGTCAGAAATTTCGAAATGTAACAAAACACTCGACTCGATAAATAAAAAGGGGGAATTCATTTTATTAAGGGTAAGTTTGGATTTGAAGTTACATTGCATCTACAGTTAGCGCGTATTCGAGGCGAAGAATATAAAAATATAGCGCATTTTATAAAACTCGTCACAAATTCACTCTAACTGTAAATGAAGGGTTAGGCCCCTCGTTTAAAGTAACGATTCGCTGGATATTTTTCAAAAAGCAATAATATGTTAAAATTATCTTCTAAAGTGATGTGATTAAAGTTCATGGCATCGTAAAGTAAATTATAAATTTTACATATTAATTGATTGCTTTTGAAAAAGAAAACTAATGGCTCACGTCTTACTATAATTGAGGGCCTAGTTTACGATCAACAACCAAAGAAAATAATCCACCATTGGCCAACATAAGTGAAATTATAAGGAATGAATAACTTTGGTGATCCCGGAAGAGGATAATTTAAATTTAAATTTAAATCAAATTTATTGTTAATGAATTATTTATTAATTATAATAATTGTGAATATAGTATAATCTATTATAGATCATTCGATTTTGATTTTTTTTTCTTCTTAATGGCGCATAGCAACGACGCGGAGCTCCATCGATGATCAAAATATAAAATGATTCGATAGAATAAATTCAATTTTAAAGCATTATACGAGAATTTTTGTTCTCCCATAAATTCAACAATAAATTTGTTGAAATATTATTACAGATAAACTATTTAGAGAGTATCCCGCCTTGCCTCGGCATGGTTAAAGTGGGAAATAAAGTAAAAAGGTTTCGTTACTTTCCTAGGAAATAATCTATTTAAATGGGAAAATAGTAATTCGATCGAATATAATTAGATCACAAAATAAGGATATAAATATACCCTTTATTCGCATTTGGGTTGAAATAATCTAATCAAATATCGGATAGAATAATAAGTTTCATTTAGGTATATATCCTAAGTGATTGACTTGCAGAAATTATATTATATAGGACCCCAAGTGATTGCTTTGGATAGGTTATCATATGTATCAGCTGCAATTTGTTCTAATCATAGAAATTTTATCATACTCTTATTCCTAGATTACCAGCCCACGCTGACGGGATAATAATTTTCATATGTTTTCTGGTCAAGACGTGATACGATTTTATAGACAGGGAAAAAAGATATTGAAATATATATTTATTTAAAATTAAATTTTTAGTTAAAATTTTTCCAGTTACGGACCTTTAAATTTTAATGCTAGGCCTGTCGGGCCCCAACTTTTGGCAGATCACTTAAACAAATTGTATCTTGCTATTATATAGTTTTATGAGGTTTGATTTGTTTTGTGTTTTAACAAGAAAAAAGTCAGTTTATTTAAAAACGGGAAAATATTGTATGCCTATAAATTACTTATATCTATAATAGTAAGTTTAAAAAATTTTACTCTTATGTTTCATTTTTTACTTCTTCTAAATGTAGTGTTTTTAAACGGCTCGATATGAGCCGATTTTTAAAAACGGCTAACTTAATATTTTTGCCAGAAAAATATTGCCTGAGATTTCGCTAATAGATGATCAAACCTTTGTATCAATCGATGAGCAATAAAATCTAAGGGCTTGGGTAAATTATGGGTAAAATGTTGAGTAAGCCGTGTTGAATACTTCTTTTTTAAAATATTTATTAGTATAGTATAAAATAATCATTTGTAAATAGATAATTTCTCTTGTGGATTACCACATACAAAAAGCGATCTGATATAGTAATTTGATAAATTTCTCTTTCCCGTTTGTAAAAGTTAACATTTTTTTAAAAAAAAAATTCTCACTATCATTTAAAGTTTGTTTTAATCATTTCTTATCAATTGAAGAAAAACGTCCATTAAACGTTAAATAAAATTATTTGTTTTCAAATAAATTTAATATATATGATAATAATTAAATTACATGGTTTGGGAAGCGGTAAATTTAAATTAGGGCAGTGAACCCAAATTAGGGTTAATTTAAAAATGTTAAAATTTATTTATACCATTGAACCCCGGAGAATATGGGTCCGTGGCGGGTTTAGACCCCTTTGCGAAAATATCTGTTATAAAAAATTTCGGCTAAATAGTGTTTCATAACGCTTAAATTCTCACTGTTAAATTATATTTAAAATTAAAAGGAACAAAATTTTTTAGGTGCGCACCTTTCTCCCTATAAAAATATTAATTTTTTTTTAAAAAAAAAGGAATTTACATAATAAACTAACAATAAAATCTTTCTTTGTAATAATTATTATGAAATTAAGCTTATAAAAGTTCCATAGAAATTAATTTTTTTTTTCGTTTCGTTGGAAATAATATAATGATGATTATCTATCACTCGCTATTTATTGTAGATGCATTCAATCAAACATAAAAAAATATTATTTTATTCCACAAACCATAAAAATCAAAAAAAATTTTTTTTAGTTTATATTTTTATATTAATGTACATATTATAATTGCGATAGGATTCACATGAATTTTTTTTTTATTCTACAAATTATAATAATGTTCATAATCAGATTTCTATTTTAAATTACAGTAACAAAAAGCGAGTAATTAAAACTAAACCTTACATAATTTTTTTATTTATGTAATAGAGAAATATTATATATTATTTAAATCTAAAAAAATTATTTAAATTTACATTTTGATATTCCTTTCCATATTTATTTATTTATGATAAAAAAGGAAAGGGAGAGCAAGGGTGATAAAATATAAATGACATACAAAATTTTAAATTTAATTGCGACATTTTCATTTATTTATTTAAAGGTATCATGGTTGTCCTGATATAATTTATTTGCCCGGACATATTATATGTATATAATAAGTAGTGGTACAATTATTTATAACAATTGAATTTTATATTTAATATGCAAAATAAAATAAGGACCTGGTGTGTTTTATATTATATCTTATTTGCTTTTAGTATAATTATAAAATTATAATGATTAAGATCTGATAAAATATAAATATAATACGGTCCAATTCGGATGACAGGAAAATTAAACAATGTTTTATATTTAAATTAATTTTTTTCATTTGCATGTTTTAATTATAATTAATTTTTTTAAAATTAATTAATGATTTTTAATTAAAAACAAACATAAGCCTCCTTCCCTTCTCTTTTTTAAAAAAAAATAAAAATAAAATTTATTATACATAATGGCCAGCATATTTTTTTCTATCCCCACCCCCTTACGAAGTTTTTTTTAAAAAAATTTTCAGTAGAATAGATTAACGCGTATAATTAGGCGGAATAATTATCAAATCACCTTCACCCTCAAATAGATACATATAAATATTATATCTTTTTCTTTAATGAGTTGAGAAATTTTTTTTTATCATAATTAGTTTTAATCCACTTAATATAATTAAAACAGACTAATTATGGCATCCACCTTCCCTCCCTTCAAAAATTTACTGAATGGGCCTCCTAGTAATGTTAAGATAAAACATCAAATTTTTTTTTATAAATAGCAAATCCTATATTTGGCTAAAACATCATTTAGTTGAGTGGAACTGATTTTCATGATAATATTTATTATAGTATTAACATATCTCGTAGCACATAGGGTGGTAAAAATCTTGGGTTTTTAACAATTTTTTTAATAAATAGACAAGCTGATACCGCTCATTATTTAAGTTTTATAAGATCTATTTAAAGCCCAAATTGTGTTCCATATATGGAATGCCTCCCCTATAAACTTGAAGCAAGTCATGAAATTTGGAACTAATCTTTATACCAGAATTCATTTACTAAATTACATAAAATTTAAAAGATAATCTGCTAGAATAGGTTCCCGTCAAAATCAAGTTTTTTAAATTTAAAAAAAAAACGCGAGAAAGACTCAGGTAATTGAAACAGAGCTATATATTTACTACGCCCTCCACGACATCTATAATACTTTGACTTATCTCAAAAAATGTTGGATTCTAAATTCAAACCAAGCAACCTTTTTTGACCAAAAAAAGTGACATGAAGGCCTATAAAATAATTTGAAAAAGCTCTAAAACACTTATTATAAATGAGTTGAAAGATAGCGAAAACCAATATCTGACATTCACCGCAATGCATATTTATTTAAATAACAATCAATATAAGCCTTGAAATATTGGATATTGAAATGTAAGTAGTCAATCAAAATTTTAAATCCCCCAACACATAAATATTTTAAGATAACTAAATAAATAAAAAAAAAACTCATGTCAAAGAATCAGGAATTCGAAATATTTCACGGCAGGTTGTTGAATTCCACCCTCAAATTTTTGACCCATATAAAAGTACAAGTAAAACAATCACCTTTTAAGTGAACATCTGTCATTTACCATACCATTTTCGTTTGTTTAACCAATTTAAAGGTGGATTGAAACACCAGCGGTCAATTCGACGTTTTTTTATAATACACAAATTTATGATTTATGAATAATGGAAAAAAAAAATTTTTAATTTAAAAAACATCAATTTTTGACAAATTTTGCACTTTCTTGAAAATAATTTAATATATTTTGTAAGTGTATTTTTTGCACTTATCTTTTTACCACCCTCTTTGAATTGAAATGCATTTCTTAAAAATATATATATATAATACTTGAAATATTAATATCTAAACTCTGCTTAACCTATAAAAAATCATGTACTGACTCCTTTTTCTTCAATATGTAATCTTTACAATATATTTTTTTCAGTCCTATAAATAATTATTTTTAAAACAATTTAAATAGATTTTTTTAAAATGGAATTGAATTATATATTAATAATGTTTAATTTTTTTCCCCCTCTCTCGGTAAATAAGCTACCCTTCCCACGATATTCCATTTTATGCTTATTTGTTAAAGGGACTCGTTTTTCGCTTTATTAAAAATATTATTGTTTTGTGTTTTTTTTTAAAAAAAAAAGAATTATAAAATGCTAAAAAACTTGAAATATACATCTTAAATTACCTATATAAAACTTAGAAAGTAATATGAAGTGTGTTTGTAAAATTATATATGTAATATAATAATTTAATCATAATATTAATGTGTCAGGGAGGAATACCAACATATAATTACAATTGTGAAATTATTCACTGTAATAAACGTTAAATACGTATAATCCTTTGTAAAATTTCTTTTTTCGTCCTCAAATATAAAAAGATATATAATTACTATTTTTAGTTTACCTATACATATAATAATAAAATCAAGATGTTTATAATATAAGTCAGAATTTTTTTTAAAATAATTTGTCTAAACAGGTGGCTTTGACTTTATGGCTATTTAATTTTAAAATGAAAATAATTAAAAATTAATCTATAGTGATTACCGTCAAGAAAGAATGCAATGCATTATGTATATATATATATATCATAAAGTCATAATATAATGTTAAAAAAAAAATAGGAGTGCAAAAGCCTGCGCCTAGGGCCTGACTAAAATATTTTTTACAGGCTGGACAACTCGTCAAATAGTTATTTAAACCGACTATATGTCAGGTAAGCGTTTGATTAATTGCTAGTATATTTAAAAATTTAAAATCAAAAGTTTCATAAGCAAATTATCTGAAATATGGTAATTAAGTCCTCTATATATGAAATATATTTTGGGCCAATCAGGATTTTAAAACAAAAATTTTTTTAATTTGCCCGGCTCTTATCTTCTCTTCATATATTCCAGCATGTTGTAAAAATACCTATTCTATAAATTTCAGACTAAGCTAATAGCAATACACGTTACTGTTTAATTACTCACATTGCCGGTAATATATATTTTTTTTTTGAAAAAATTATTAAAAGTTCAAAAAAAAATCATAATAATTTTAGCATATTTTTTTTTGCTTAAAAGTGCATATTTGTACTCTAAGTAGGGGTTTTAGGGTTAATAAAAAGATTAAATTAAAAAAATATATGTGTATATAATTTTTGAGATAGTTAAAATTAAAATTGTAAAATGTTCACTAAACAAAAAATTAAAGAATCTAAGAAAAATATATAGTTGGACTAGTTAGCACTAACCAAAAATTAGTTTTTTTGGTTTTATTTTAAAATAATATATTAAAAGCTGTTATAAATAAAAATTATTTCTATTCCGGGAAAAAGAAATTACTTTTAATCACATGGATTATTAAATTTTTTTTTGTTATAAATATCTATCCGAATGTCCCAATAATTCACTATTAGAAGATAGAAAAAAATGGGTCAAAGCATTGTGATAAATTTAAGTTTAAAAAAACCTTGATTTTTTTTATTGTTAATAGATCATAAATAAAAACTATAATAATGAAAGTCAAAATTAAATTATTAGATTCAAACAGAGTTTAAAAAAAAATTTTTGGTAATTTTCTTTTTATTGTAATTACATAAAGGTTCAATCAACGATAACATTTGCTTTATTAATATGTTGCATATTACAAATTGGTTTAAAATATTTATTATTATAATAGTTACAAAGAAACCTAAAAATAATAAATTATCTTATCTCTATTATAGAAAGTTTATATACACATAATTTCCTCAAATTGATTAATTATAATAACTCTTTCTGAGCCAATGGGAATCAATATATATATAATAAATTTAACCAGAGATCAATTCTAGCTATTTAACTGTGATGATTAAATAGTATACAATCAAAATTCTAACTAAACAGTCATATCTTAATATTTGGTTTCATTTTAGAATAATAAACTCATACATAGGCATAATCAAATATTTCTAAGATGGGAGATGGCGGGCCTTAAGTCAAACATCTTTCCAACCTTTGGCCCGATCACGTCTTTACACAATATTTGTTTTTCACTATTATTTGGTTTTATATATGTGTATTTTTTTTTCTGAAATATTGAAATTACAAGTAATTATTTCAAAAAAAAATTATTGTTCATAATTAATTATTTTATTTATTTTCTAAGGGAATTGGGGTTATGGGCGGGGGAGGTGGCTGGAAAAAGATATTAGTATCATTTTATATATGTTTGAAACGGTATTTAAAAACTTTGTCAAGTTTTCCAGTCCCATCCTTTGAAATAAATGCATAAAGGTATTGATAAATTTAAATGTTTTAACATTTATCCACAAAGAAAGGGAGCGGGTAGGATAAAATAAATCTTAATAAAAAATTCCAAAAATTGAAATAACAAAATAAAAAATATTTTTTTTACCTTTATATAAAATCATGATAATTGAATTGTCATAAAAATAATGATTTTGGATCAGATTTGAAATCTCTCAAAGCAAGTCTGTGTTTTGATGTAATCTTTTTGCTAAATTAGTTTCGCTAAAATTTTTTATTTAATTATTATATGAATTTTTCAATAAATTAAAAGGGGTTATAAATTTTTATCCTTTATAATATTAGTGATTTACAAATAATATTTTTAATTTAAAAATTAAATCAAATCAAATTAAAATTTTAAATAAATATCGTTGTTTGTTTAACCTTTTATTTATATTATATTTTTTTTTAGTATTATAATATTTAAATATATTATTTTAATATTTATTTTTTTCACTGGACTATAAAAATCTTTTATAAAATTTTTTTTTTATATTTTCTTTACCAATAAAACCACTATTATAAAAAGAAATTTAAAGCAAACAAAAATAGTAATATATAATTTATATACCTTTATATATAAATGTAGTAATAATAAAAAATGATAATAAACAAATACAAGAAGCGACTTTCTGATACATTATATTTCCTAAAATATTAACACACTAGTACTTTTTTATATATATAATATAAGATAGGGCTTCATTATAATAGTTGAGTTTTCGGTTAATATAGGTTAATACAACCGAATACCGAAAAACCAGGTAACAATCGGTATTCTCCGTGAGCAATATTTTTTAAATAAAACCCTGAGGTCGGATGGTAGTTTTCAACTTAAAACTTGGGTTTCGCTGTTTTTAGTCGACCATAAATAATCTAAAACGACTCAGAATGGAGTAGCGTTTAACTATACTCAGCGTCAGCACCTCACTCCTCTCTTCTTGTTTTTCATGTTATCAACTCTACAATAAATTATCTATCTTGTTTGATATTATTTATAAGTATTATACAAACACACTCACAATATCTAGGTTCCAATGCATCCTCGTGAAATATAGATTTGTATCATCGATTTTATTTTTTTAGTCTTCATTAAAGAAATGTTATTCCTGAATTCAAAATTAAAAATTATTATTCTAATAATGCTATATTTTAAAATATATTTCTTAATCTAAACTAAATATCACTTACTTTGATAGTTTAGACTATGTCAAAATCTTATAATATACTACATTCATTTTTTGCATCCAAAAACTTCCACTTATCAATTCTTATTCATTTTATATACCTCATTTTTCTTATAGCGATTTTTCCCATTTTTTTATTTTTACCTTACATAATGTTCACAACTTTTTTTACTAATCTACTCGCATATCTCCGCGTCTCTTCAGATATGATCAAAACGTAGTCTTCCCAACCAATTTATTTAGAAATAGATTATATTAATACAAAGTAAACATATATTAACTAAAAGTATCTTATGTAGCTTTTTTCCATAAACTAGGACATTTCATGTTAAAATATTATACTTTTTAAACAATCTATATTATTATGAATCACACGAGATGGAGCATTTTGATAATTTCAATAAAATTAATATAAATTTAAATGAAAACAAGTTTATTTGGACATTATGTAAAATTTATTTTAAATTTAATATTTTAACCTTTAATCAAGGTATAAATAATACCGTTTTTCGTGCAAAAATACTAAATGTATTTTCTTATTTTATTTTTTTTGTGTTTTTAAATATTTTTTTTTACTAGAATCGTTCTAGAAAATATGAGCAATATTTTATTGAAATTTTTTTAATATCACCATCATTTATATTAATATGATCTTCTTGTTGGAAAATTTTAATTTATCATAATTTATTAAACTAGTTAATTTTGTTAAATAAAATTTATTAAAAAAAATTTAGCCTGTATACTTTTAAGAAAATTAACTTTATAAATTTAATTTATGAATGTTTAAAATTTCGTTAAAATAATTTTAAAGCATGTTTTTTGTTCTGTTTTTTTCGTTTGTGTATTTTATGTATCATAAGTCATCTCATCTATATAATAAGCCATGTTTTCTTTGAATCTTTTTACTTTGACACATATTCATGGAGAAATTTAAGATTATAAATTTTTATTAAAAAAAATGATTTTTAATTCCTTATTGTAATAAATATAATACCCGAGTTAACAAGTATTCAATTACTAACTTATCTTGTAAAAATAATCATTTAATAAAAAATTACATTTAGTTAGGCCTATGCGCCGCATTATTTATATAAAACTTTATTTTAAAAGTTTAAAAAATTTGTTTTATTTCAGCTCTAATTATTTTGATGTTTTAAATATTTTTTTAATGTATAAAATAAATAAAATTTAATAGGGCGTGTGGGAATTTGAACATCATTTATGCTTAGGGCATAGACTTATTAATTTAGTTACAGTTGATGGTATAAAAAAGGTTACCAGAATTAATATTCTGCTTAAAAAATTAGAGAAATCATTTCAGCCTCCAGATATCGAGTAGCTGATTTGGAATGAACATTGTAAATGCTTGCAATTTTTAAACAGGCCATATTTAGGATATTGATGATTCTGATCCACACATTGATGAACATTTTGATATCTCTGGTGAGGCTGATAATATAAATTGCATTGAGCAAACAGATTTAATTAATACGAAAAGCTTAAAATTCTCCTACCCACTGGCACAGCTTTTTAATTATACTAGAAAATATCCGTAGTGTTCAAATTTATATAAATAATGTTCTTAATAAAATAAGAAAACAATCCTTAAAACCATTTAATAACGAATGGATATAATTAACCAATTTTGTGCATTATTAAATCCATTCAGAGAGCCGGTGTAATTTCTTCTCTCCCAAAAGGGATCAACAATAAATTTAAGATTTATTTCGTAGTGAAATTGGAACACATATACAAATCAATAAATCTGATTGCTCAAATATCATTTGCCTAAAAGAAAAATAGGTTTCCAATAACCGAAATGTAATATAATTTATTTTATATTATATTTTATTAATAAATGATATTTAAACATTAGATGTTAGCGAATTATTTGATCCGAGATTTCAAAATCTTAAAATTGTTTCAGAATATATAAAAAATTTTACAACATCATTCCATTTTTTAATTAATTTTAGTATTTCTGATTTCTAATTTATTATATTTTTTACTTTATATTTTGCTTGTCCAAATTAATATTTTAATTTGTTTTAATAAAAATCAATAGAATATTTAAAAAGTGTTGTTTATAGTAAAAATACAAATCCTTAAGAATGAGAAAATACACAAATTTAAATAGGAATGAGACAAAAAATAATTTAAGAAATGAATTAAACTATATTAATAATGTTAGAACTAAGAGTTCCCAAATAAATTTTAAAAAAAAATGTATTACATTGAATTATATATTAAACTTATTTAAAATATTTTTAAATAAATAAGTCACCGCGGCCGCTAACGTCGATAAAAAAAATTAAAAAATTGCCGCCATCTTTTGAGGCTTCTGCGCACAGGTCTAGTAATGGTACGAAATTTCGTAAATATGCTAATAGAACAAAATGGGATTTGAGAAAAAGAAGAAAGGAACAACAAATTAATAAAATAATTTTGTATACAACTAATTAAAATTCATTTATATAGCGTATTAATAATGTAAAATATCCTATGAAAAACTGTCCATTCCACCTCCAATGTCCACTATAAAAAATAACATTGTTTAGTTACAGTTCGTTATCAAGTTACTTCAATAAAAAGTAACTAGTTCAAGTTTCTTGTAATATTATTCAAAAAAAAACAAATTTGATTTGAGTATAATCTATAAAAAAAATTAAAAAGTAACTTGTTACAGTAACATTTTAAGGAATTTATCGGTTAATAACACTTTATTACATTTACTAGTTAAAACTATATTTTCTCTAAATAGTAATTAGTATCTAGTCATAGGTAACCCCTAATTGGCTACAAATAATTAGTTATCTGTTGTTATTACTTTAACAAATTTATAATAAATTGTCCCATCAGAAATATACTGTATTAAAAATATAAAAATTATAAAATAACCTTCAATTTTATATAACCTTTTTTAAAAATATAAAATGTACATCATTTTAATTTTAACCGTCGTAAACTCTTAGGTATAATATAACTGCAAATAAAATTTTATTCATTCGAATGTTATATAGATATAAATCAATTTTTTCTTTATACAAACAATGTAGATCTTCTTTCATTATCGCATTGCATAAATCACTCCACCCATAATATAATTTTATTATATTACTTTTGTTTGTTAGTTAGGAAATTTAATTATTTTTCTATTTTTATAAATTTGTGATAACTCTAACAATGTATCGTTATGTAACCATTGAAAAATTCACATCTAATTTTATTTTTATTTTAATGATATGATGATAATAATATTTTTTAATGTTTTTATTGGAGCCGATTTAACCTTTAAAAAGAAGATAAGGTTGAACAAATTCTCAAGTAAGTTATATAATTCTAAAATGGAAAATAGAAGAAATTGTTTAAAATTTTTACTAATTTTTTAAAAAATTTCCGTTTCCGTTCATAGGTGCCGAAATAATATTAAATAATAAATATTACAAAATTATGATGAAAAGTCAAAGTTTCGTCAATATTTTTTTTAATGACAATTACATTTTTAAATTATTGTAAATTAACTAGTATAAGAAATTTAACTCTTCGTGAAATATACCTTTCCGTTTTTCTTTGAAAAATGTTTAAAATTAAAATTTTCTTTTCAATATTATAAATTTAAACATTTTACTAGCAGAGATAATTTTTTTACAAATAAAAAAAAAGAAAAGTAGGTGCAAAGACATGCTTTTGTAATGTTAATATATATATTTTACATTAAAGAATATATCTATGACTTCACGTCACGGAGAACGACAATAATTTTTATTTATAATTTTAAATTCACGATGACACTACTATTATAAAATATAATAATAATATATAATAAATATGACTTATCAAAGTTATTATAAAATTTTTATTCCTTTTATATATATGTATGTACCTGAAATTTTAAATGTAAAATTTTAAATGTAAAATTTTAAATGTATAATGACAAAATAAAATTATGATAATTAATTATTTGAATCTCTCTACCCATTTTTCAATATGCTTTCGTTCCTTACAAATCATATGGGGAAATAAAGCTACATTTTATATAACATTACAAATATATACATGATATTACGAATAAATTATTGAATTGTAAGTGCACTCTTTTTATTTTTAATAATAATTGTAATGTATTTCCTTCCTTAATTGTTAAACCAAACATTAAAATTATAAATAATATAAAAGGTTATATATATTTTTTTTTGAAGTATATGGTGTATATTTTACCATATTGTTTATTTAAAAAATTATTATATATATATGTACGATGGTATAAAAGGTACTAGGTAGAGGAGAGGATACTCAAGTGATTATGGTTATACTAGCGACAGAAAAATAATTTCAATTCGGGTTAACGACACACAAACAAGAGTATATTTTACAAAGGGGCATATATATATTTAAATCTAAGACAATATATTTAGTTAGATAAAATAAAAGGTATCTTAAATTGTAGAGAAATCTGTTAGATATCTAAATCTACTAAAACATCATAATAGTCTTTGATTTGTATAATTAAAGATAGGATTTTTTTATAAATTTAATACGATAATATCAGCTAAATCTACAGTCGGGGAAAAAGACTGACTAAAAATTGAGCTACAAGTTTATTTTTTTCCCCTATTTTCCAAAGTTGAGTTATCTTTCAAAAAAAACCTGAGACTGAGATGGTAGTTTTTGGCTTAAAACTCAGTTTCGCCTTTTTTGGCCTAGCAAATTTTGGCGAAATAAAACGGCTTATAATCAATTACAGCAGTTGGTTTTCGATTTAGAACTTATCCTGATGGCCCCTTTAAGTAATAAATTCCTGCATACTAACTGGATAAATAGTCCATATCCCCTCATATTGTTAAAAAGTCAATAACAGTGTTTGTAGTGTAAAATTAAGTAATTTATTTGTTAAAATACTCATTTGTAAAGAAAACATAAATTTTCGATGATTAATTAACAGTTTAATTTTCATTTATACATGTAAAATTGACAGATTTATTTAATTTTAATTGAAATTGATATGCATTTAAAAAAAATACATATATAAAGGCTTAGTTAATTTATTCTTTATTGATGTAAATTTTGAATTCGACAAACGCAAACCTAAATGCAAATTAAGTTTTTAAAGAGGACAAAAATAAATAAAGATCACAATCACACTAACTAAAAGATGCCGAAAAATGACCCCCTCCCTACTTAAATTTTATTTTTATTTTAATAACCTTTTATATAAAATTTTTATGTAAAAAAAAAGATAATATTTTAATCCCTTTGTACTAAAGAATTGTTTATTATTCATAAGAGGGTTATTTAGAAATTTATACACCACAGGAATTTATGAATTTAAATTTCATTTATATTAATTCTAAAAAAAAAAAAATTTTTATCGATAATTTATTGATTTATTAACCAAGATCGCCCAGAGACTTAATTTTATAAACCTATAATTTATTAGATTCATATTAAAAAGGTTATAATTACAAATAGTAGGATATTAGATAATAATTATAAAAGATTTATAAAAATAATAACAATGATAATTGATTATTATGCTGATTAAACATTTTCATTCTTCCATCTTCTTGCCATCTTCGTCGATATTCTATAATGGAAAACACAATTATAAGGGTTTAGAATTTAATTTGCTTAGTCTTAGATAACTTACAAAGTTTTGAAAATCTTGATTAAATTTATCCTCCAGATTTTGTACTTGTTGGAATATTTTGTCCATTTGATTTTTGAGTGTTTTGATGAGATTTTTGGATAAATAGATATCTTTCATCTAATAAAGTATACATAAATTTAAGGATTATGATTCAACTCAAGGAAATTGCCCCGTTACAACCGCTCATTTATTTATGAACTTCCATTCGTTTATTTATAATTACATGAACAAGCTAGGTTTGACAGGTTATTAATAAAAATGATTAAATTTTATTAAAAACCAATCTAAACCCCCAACCCCATATCCCTCAGATCTTTAAATAACCCTAACCCATAGGTCTTTAACCTTTAATCCTACTCCTTACTTCTGATACTTGTTTAATTTTAAATAAATTTCATCCAATTAAAAAATTTCCTCCAGTCGCTGAGTTGAGTGATTATCAAATTTAAACACCTCATTAATATAATAGATCAGTGGTAGGCCAATTTACAGCCCCGTAATAATTAACAGATATTTAAAAATTATTTATAATTACAAAATGTATTTAATATTCGTAATGTTTTTTTTAAAAAATCGATAATTAATTTGACAAAAAATTAATCAACTAAAATGAATTCGATATTTGAAAAAGAGAAGTTAAGAAACGATCAGATGACGAAAATGATGTGTTTCATATATATATATATATATATACCTGAAGATGAATAACTTATATTGAAATACATCATTTAGATTTTTTACAAATTTAGATATCTGGAACAAGAGGGGGGGGAGTTTACTAATAAAATTAATATTAAATTATCTCCCATTATATTCTTCACGAATCTTATGACTATTTAATATTTCCTTTTTTTAAAAAATCATTTCAATTTTGACAGCATCTTAATGAGTAATAATATTGTTATGTCTTATAATTAAAGATATTAAAACAGAATAAGCCATTGTGAATAAAAATTATCTAATTTTTTTTGGACACAGTTCCATTTCTGGAACAAGTCCGACGTTCTTTTCCATGTATCAGGTTATTAGTTAAGTGCGGAGTTGGGAGTGGTGGTGAAGTAAGGAAGGCTGACTGAGTTTTGTGTAAAACTTTGTCAAAAATATAAAAAGCGATGGTTTAACTTTAAATTTTTTTAACTCATGATATTTGAATCAAATTATAAATAAATGCTTTCCGGCTCAATTGTTAAAAGGTTAACTAAAGCCGAAATTATAAGTATGTTAATTTTAATAAAACTAACATTATTTATATAGGAAATCTCAGGATAATGTAATAAGTTTTATCATAAATAAATACTTCTATCAAATTAATCAAATTTTTGATTATACAAGTCTTAATAAATATTTCTGGAACTCGTGATGATTCGGAACCCCACTTTAAATAATTTAACTAAAGCTATTTTTAAGCTTGAAAAATCTGATTTTCTCGGAAATATATTCCAGCATGTGTTTAAAATATTCACTCTATGAATTTCAGCCATTTTTGCCACGAACATTTGAGATACTCTTTATGTATGTATAGATTTTTTATAAAAATTATAAAATACATAGATAACGAAATTTCTAAAATTCATAGGATAGGTGTATGCCAATGATATATATTACTATTGGTGATTTATTCATTATATGAATTTAAAAGTGTACATACAAAGGAGTCAGCTGTCGCGCCATTTTGTGGTATGCATGTCAATTAAAATGGCTGTGCATTCATATAATGATAAATAAAGACAACAATTAGTCAAAGTTCAAACCATAAAATGGAGCTCAGCTGACTCCTACACATAGACACTTTTAATTAATGAATAGCCAATCTAGTATTATATATATATCATTGTTGTATATGCTCTACACATGTTTGAATACATTTTCATTTAATAAAAATTTTCAAATTTGAAAAGCGTTTAGCAGATGAATTTAAGATAAAAAGATTCCTTGAATATTTGTTGAGCATCATCTCGGATGAGTCGTATATTCCAAATAAACATACACCATATATATATATTAATGAATTTAAAGTCAAATTATTAAAAATCATCTTTTTAATGTCTAGATAAGCGCAGTGTTTAAAAAAAAATAAAGTTGTTTGAAATATTGAAAATTTCATACCTGAGCTACAAAATCTCATTAAAAAATTTAAGATACTTTTAAATACCATAGTTATATGGAGGAGGGGGGTACATTTAATCAAGGAAAAATAGATTTGTTTAACTTACATGGCACTGAAGGTGGTTGTACTCATTTTTGAATGACTTTAAACTTTCTTCTAAATTTAACATTTTGGAATCGCGATTTTGAAGTTCGAATGAGAGATCTTGATTACGGCTCTTAAGACTCAATATTTCAGTCTCATATTTTTGAGTACTCTCAGCACTTTATAATTTATATTGTAAAATATTGTGAATAGTAAATCCGTCATTATTTTATAAAATTGAATTGGGATATTATAATAAAAATTTTGCTCAACCTTTTCTAATATTTAACATTATTAATGTCAATTCCATGTAAAATAATAAAATAATTAGTGGTCACGTCCCATTTAAAGGTGGGCAGTGCGTTCTAAGGAAGAGGAAGAGAAAAATATGCCTAAATCTAATTTTTGACACTCCTAAATATGAAAAAGATCAATTAGTTCATCGTAAAAAAAGGTAACATGTTTAATTCTCATTTTAAAAAACATAGAAATATTTAATATACCTTAATCAAATAATTTTTTTTAAAATTTTCTCCAAACCTCATTTTATGAATTTATTATTATTAAATTATTATTCCCTAAACGTTTGGTTTGAGATCAATATTTTATTGTTATTTTTCTATGCATCAAAATTAATAAAAAACTTCAAGTCTAGTAGATATAAATTTTAATATGTGAATTGAGATAATAACATTCAATAATGAAATTCGATTTGTCATGAATTTGTTTAATATTGTTGTCGAGTTTTGTCTGCAAACTTGTTTGACATATCTGAACTTTCTATTAATAAAAATGGGATATTTAAGGTTCAATTTTGATTGCATCATTGTTTTGGATATTTGGGAAGAATTATTTCTCATTTTTTTTATTTTATATATATATATATACCAATTTCCCGGGGTTTTTCATTTTTGCGAGATTATTAAATGTAGGTATTAATGACTTTGACAATATTTCTTTTAATATAAACGCCAAAATTTTTGATGAATATTTCCACAAAGAAATTTCCTTTGTATACACAAAAAATAACATATTTTTTTTAGTTTTCAATAATTAATCTTTAATCATTATTTTTCAATTTCTCACATACTTTGGAATAGTGTTTTTAAGTCCATTTTTAAAAATGAACTGATCAATCTTTTATCCAAAATAATATTATGTAAGCCTAAATATTTTGCTCATAGGTAGCAGAAATGCTTTGACCTCTATTTTCTAAATCTCGAAGCTTGCATTATTATTTTGGCAAAAATTTAATCGGGCCGTTTAACAACACTTAACCAATGTTATTGACTACAGCTGACTTCTATGTATGTACACTTTTAATTATTGAATCATAGTCTAGGTTGGCATAAATTTCATTGGACTGAATAGAAAATAATTTTCTAAAATATAATAACAGAGAAACAGGAGAAAAAAGGAAGTTTTTTAAATAATTTTTTGGGTTAAAATAAATCTTTACAAATACTTAATGATATTTTTTGATATAAAATTTATATAATTAAGATGGATGGCACATAATACAATATTCTGTTTGGTAGTTATTTTTAAATACTTTTTTTTGAGAAAGATTTGTATATATTTGAGTTATACTATATTATGTATTTGCTGGTTTATTGTTTGTTGCATTGTAAAAATAAAATATTCCATATTTTGTGCCAGCATTATCTGTGCTCCTTGTAAGTTTATTTATTTAATGTATACAAGGGTCGCTGGAAAGAGGAATGGATTGGATTTATTGAATGCTGTCTTTTTTTAAGGTTTTGGTCTTGGATAATCAAAAACCTTTTTAATTATGTTAAGATTATATAATTATAAATGCAATTTTTTGTGCTAAATTAAGTTGTTCAATAAAATTGGAGATTGGGAACTAGGATTAATTTGTCTAATAATATAATATATCTTCAGCATCACGCATCTTAGTCAAATATTTATAAAAAAATAAATAACCAAGGAATTATAAGTGCTTACAAATTAAGCAGAAGCGTTTAGCGTTGTGATATTCTTTAAAAAGCATAGTAGTTTAAATCATTCGGTGTTTTTAATAACACGTTAACCAATATAGACGACAACATTTGAAATAAATTGCTTAAATACAGCTAAATAAAAAATTGGTTTAAAAGTCCTATTAGATTAGAATAAAGTGGCAATATACAAGATTTATATATATTAATGTTAATCTAATCTTTTCAGTTAATGATTGACGAAAATTTGAAACTGGGGAGTCATTTGTTAACTATAATGTATCATCAAGGTTCTTAGCTATTACGCATATTTATTTCTTTCGTTTTTTTAACCAATCAGGGAATAGATTAGAGTAAAAGTTGTAATACATGATTTTTTTTCGAGTGAGTTATAAAGTATTACTTTAATAAAATATTTTTTTATAGTGACATTGTGGGAACTAACAAATTTTTGACAAATATTATTCGATTATTTATATATTTATCAATTACTATAAAGAAACATGATAAAGTGGTTTTTTTGAAAATGATTTTCATTCATTTTACAACTCTGACGAGTACAAGAATTTAAATAATCACCTTTATATAGAAACTTTTGTTTTCACAATTCTCTCAGGCAAATGAATCATTTTCAATGACTAGTCAATATGTCTTTATCTGATTAAAGAGCAAGACATTTGTCCGATACATAATAATAATGATGTATCAAGAAAATTTCTTAGTCCATCATTCGATATATTTACGGAATTTATGATTTAACACGATACATCGTCATTCTGCTTTTCTTTATAATTCCAAGATTACCATTGAAATTTTTATTATATCCTATACTTTTAATAACTTATTAAAGAAATTACCATTACCATTAGCCTAAATGCTATTAAAACAAGTATAATTGACTCCAACATTTGAATCCAAAGAGTAACATTTTTTATAACAAAGTAATAATAAGATTTTCAATTCGATCACAAATTAGGTAATTATTTTAAAAACCATTATTAATATAATAATTATATTACACATAGGTAGTTATTTGTTAGTATATAGGCATACTTGAGTGAAACTGCTAATTTTAGTTTTTCGTTTTCCAGTCTTAAACGCGATTCCAGAGGTATCAAAGGATGGCCTAATATATTATACCTTTTTGGCGAATTCTTTAGAAGAAAAAAATTAATATCGTATATATCATTAGTAACAAATTAAATCAAAATTAACATTATCATATCGTATGCAGTAATAATTTTTAGTTAATCTGGACTGATATGTAGTCTATTTATTTTTGCGTTTTTGGTTAAAGACAAAAAAAACTTATTATCGTATAACAAATGAGAAATATTCAATATCAGTTTAAACAAATTCTTAATTTAATCTCAGATTTTCTCAATAATACCTCAAAAAATCTTAGAAACCGTGGATTAAATCACTCTGGAAAACAAAGATATACTCAAAAAAAATACTAGAGCAAAAAAAATCATTTTTAGGTATAAAACTAACCTGAACACTCCTAAAACTTTGGGGACTTCTAAAGTTAAACAATTTAGTCTCATTTTTATCGAACAACGATTTTCCTTTCCGTTTACTAGTCTTTATGTCTATAGATGAGGCTGTATCTGAAGATGTTTTTCTTTCAAGTAAAGGATGGTATGATTGACTTAATCGAGAGACAAAATTCTTCCCATTTATTGAGACTCGGCGACAAATTATGGTCATGATTTCGTTAAAGATGTTTGAAAACTTTTTAAAATAAAAATATTTATTAAAAAAGTAAAAAAAAAATTGTATACAATTCATTTATACTTTAGGATTATATGAATGCAACTCAACACACTAAGACTTGCGCCACGTATTTTTTCTACTAATATATCTCAAACTAGTTTTGTCAACGGCTCAATTTCGCCCATTTAAATTAAAATTTTAGCCAAAATAAGTGGGCCTCAAGATTTTGTTAACTGATATCCTAACCTTTCTTGCCATCTATGAAAATCTCCATGCTTGCATAATATTTTTAGGCCAAAATTTTGAGTTAGAAATTTTTCAAAATCGAGCCGTTTGGCAATAAAACATGGTGCACAGGCACTGAGGACGGCTATTTAAGATTTTGATGGCAATTGTTGTTTTAATTATTAAATGAACAAAAATAATCAATGAATGAATAAAGACATACCCTTTCAAGATCTTCTTCCTTTAAGCATCCCAATCCGTATAAAGCATTAGCCTTGAAATCGGCCCATTTACCAAATAAAGGAGATAAAATTTCAAAACTCATACGAGGTGTCATGACACTATTGATCAAAATCTTAAGTGGAAAAATAATAAAATAAATGACGATTTAAATAATCAATATAATTTTTCAATTTTAAAATAAATTAATTTTTAAATAAATTTTCGGGTTCGGTGTGATCGACTTGAACCAAATCTTACAAATGTTAGAAATCAATAATAACTCGAAATAAATTTTAGCAAAAAGAATTAATGAAAATATTAACTATTTTTAGCGGAAAATTTTGATAACGGGAACTGAATCGGAACTTATTTTTTTGAAAGTGGGTTTGAACCAACCAGGGTCCATATTATTCCTGGTTAGATGGGTTGTCCTCGTAATCGGTCCCTGTTTTGGTCCCTCAAAATGTCAACCAATTTTAAATTTCTGAACCCTAATTTGTGTTCATAGCCCTCTTTAATATAAATATGAAGTTCATATACGTTGCCATCTTCAAAGCTCAAGATTCTGTAAATTTGACGACTCTTGTCATAATAGAATGATACCGTAACGTCGCCATAGGATAACGGAATCCAATTTTCGTTTATATTGATGTTGGTCGGGTTTAAGGTAAATACTTTAGCTCTAACAGAATGCAATGGGACATCCCTACAAACGATCATATGTTTTATGATAAAATTATATAATATTATACATATAAGTTCCATTTATTTTTCTTTAATTAGTATTCTTCCCCCTTTTTTTGGCTTAAACACCCTCCCCCCCCCCAATGGTAATATAAAAGTTAACCCTGGTATGTCATAATATATGTTTTATATTTGATATTTAATCAATATAATAAGTAATCTCATATCCCCTTCCGCTAGGGTGGGTAAGATATAAAATTATATAGATTATGATTTCCTTCATATCATTTTTTGTATTATATATTTATTATTCATATTTTTACATTTTAAATTATTTTAACTTAATTCCAATGATTATAATAATATTATTGCCTTTATGTTATTCTAAAGGATATCATTTATTCTTTGATATTTGACCAAAAAAAAAGTTTTATTCATATAAAAAGAATTTTATTCAAAAAATATATAAATATATAAAATATCCAATAATCCATTAAAATAATTCATTAAAGCTTTATATATTTTAACAAATCTAAAATTCCTTTGAACAAAGACTGAATATAATTTTAATCTTTTTAAGTTATGGTTGGTATCCTGTCCCTGTGATCTCTATATCGTGTAAAAGGGTATTAAAATATAATAAATTATATTGGGAAATATATATTATTTAATATAATATTCGATATTTTAAATCAATAAGTCTAATCTATTCCATTCAATCTTATTTATCTCGATAATTAAATTAAAAATCTAAAAAATAAGAATTGTCTGAAAATGCCTAAAATTGACATTCTAATAATATTTTTGTTTATAAATAGTTATTTATTTTCTATTTCAATGATAAAGAACTTATATAATAATGCAATATCAAAAGAAACAACGATTTTCAATTTTTATTAGAGAGGGTTTGCTCCTCCAAAACAGGCAGGCTCCATGATATGCCATATTTCGCGTATGAGACTCCTTCAAGCAGAAACTCCTAAATGGCCGTTCCATCAGAACAGGAGGTTAAATTTTTTCTAGTTAAGTTTAAGTAACCCTTCTTCAAAATCCTACACTTATTTAGGTTTGAATACACATTTCTTCATTAGGATATATTGAGTAAAACAATAACAAATTGCATAAAATAAGACTCCATTTATTAATGAAAATTTTGTTTTGATATCATATTGATTTATTTAAATGAGGAATCTTTCATGGAATTATAAGACTATTTCATATTACAAAATTGTTTAATTTATTTTAAACAATTTAAAATCTGTGATTGATCAATTAATTTTAACAATATTAATAGCTTTATTTGATGATGCTAGTATAAGGACTCGTTAACAGTTTTGATATTTACACGGGAACTGTATGTATATATATATATATATATACTGATTCCAGAAATTTGGCATCGATGTGTCAGAAAGGATTATTATTTCAAGTATTTCAACAATTACATTCTAGTTGCTAAAAACATAGATATTTTTTTAGGTAATGGAGACCATGCCCAACTGAAAAGGATTTTACAAAAAGATCATAAAACCTAAAACCATACTAAAATGATGGAATAAAACATCCAAAGATAGTTCCCTCTATAATATAGCAAATCATACTTTTTCCACAATTTTTAAAATTTTTTTCGAATTTTTATGAAAAATGTGGTGTCAGAGGAGCCCAATGTAGATTTGGAACATTTATTTATTTAAGATGATCTTACACAAATGTTTATATCATTTAATTATTTTTGAATAAAAATATCGAATGTAATATATAAATTAATACAAATTTTTCATTTCCAAAATTTGACAAATATTTTCAAATTAATGTAAAAATAAAAGATGCCTACAAATTTATTTGTTCAAACTGTAAAAAAATATATCCTAAAACAAATCTAGTAACCTCAAAAACAATTAAAGGTAATTTTTTAAATTCTAATAGTATTTATTTTATAAGAATGAAGACCAATTCAATTCTAGCTAAATTGATTAATAATATTGCACATACCAATATTTCTCAGAAACGATCTGATAAATTTATTGTCGATTTTATAATTGATACAGTTCAGCCAATATCATTTGGTTGATAATCTATCATTTACCATGATGATTAAAACTCTATCCCCTCGTAAAACAATTTTTTGTTGCCAGACACTGATTGAGATAGCAGCAAAGAGGCCCTAGTTGGAACCATAAAAACGACTTCACTGATCATTTTTTTGAAATAACGGATACAAATATAGTAGAAAATCCCCTAAACGCCTTTTTTAAATTTCAAAACTAACTATATTTAAATATTTATAAATGTTGATTTTTATATATTATATACTATGCAATTTAATTTATAAGCAAAAAATAAAACTAATTTTTCTAATTTTTTTATAAAAAGTAGCCAAAGCTACTTTTAAAAATTAGTAGCTAATAGCCCGCTACTTTTTTTGATGGGTAGTGATAGCGGTATCGCGCTACTTTTTTTGACAAATATCGATAGCGGTGACGCGCTACTTTTAAAAGTAGGGTTTAACAATTCTGTAATTGACTTTTACAGTGTAAAGAAAATATTTTAATTTTTTTACTAAGAACTACTGGGTTTTTCTTTCTAATATCATATGTGTATGTCTAATAAACTTTGAACAGATAATTTAAAATAGTCGATAGATCAATAATTGGTATGTTAATGTTTCTTGCCCTGTTCCAAAGGGCCTTTACACCTCACTTTTGACCAAAAGCTAATGCTAAAATTATTATAATGAATATATATTATATACTTTATAAATGTGTTTAATTTTCATAATATTCATAATTGTTAACGCCAGTGGCTTATGTTACTTTAATAATTTTATAGCAAAAAAACGATTGCAGATATGGATACATCAATTTTTAATAGTATGGCTATTTCTAATTAATTTGATTAATGGTCTATAGAACTAATCACTCCCATAAAGATCCTGTCAAGATAAAAAAAACATTAAGAGAACATGTAGATTTGTGTAAAATACCATAGATAAAATACATTTAAGTTTTCAAATTTTAAATTTCGATCATCAAACAGTAGATTTTATGTATATAATATAAATTTAAACCGATTATTAATACTATTACATTAAAATATAGATTTACTAATAAATCTAACGATTTTAAATAAAAATCTTCAATAATTTAAATTGACAAAAAAATATGTTGAAGATGTCTGCATTTTAACTGAGTAGTTGTTAGCATTGATTAAAGCTACTACTATGTATAATGTTATAAACTCAGATCTCCCCTTCTCTCCATCAATTGTTTGTAGGGTACATAGACAAAATAGGTATTTTAAAGATGCACCACAATGATGTTGGAAGAATGAAATCATATTTTTATTAATAAATTATTAAAATATAATATTTCATATTTCATATTATATACTATAATATTAATATATGATATTCGAAAATGAAGGATAGAATTGATTTTCAAGCCTAATATCTCATTAAACATAGCTCGAAATTTATATTTTATACATGGATCATCATTCGTTATTTCTGGCAATCATACATTAATGATATAGGATAATATAATAAAATATTTGAACATAATTTGGAAAAAAAGCCAATCCAAGCCATTTATCATTATATAATATTAATAATTTATCATTGATAACCAATATTTTTTCAACATGAAATATATATAAAATCCAAAATTTATGTTAATATGAAATTGAAATAACAAAAAATTTTAATCATTTTTTTTCCTTCTTCTATAAAATATTTTTATGAAAATCATTTTAATAAAATATTATCTTATTATGTATAATATTATACAGATAAATTACTATTCAGTGAATTTAATACAAAAAAAACTTTTGTATTGTATATTATGAATATATATCTATAAATGGTATATTTTGTTAAGTAATGTTTATGATGAAGGAATATAAAAGGATAAGTGTAATATTATTAATATATTCAGTGTCATAATTGGGAAATTAGGACTTAAAAAATTAATATTATGACTTGATTTAGATAGTTGTGATTGTAAAATGACCTTTACCCATAAAAAGGAAGGGAGGTTAGGGGGGGTATTCAATATAGTATAGCCAAATCTAAACACTATCCATGAAGCAGTGGCAACCAAGAGCGTCGTTAGACATTTTTTTTTAAAAAAGGAAAGTGTTATTTTTTTAAAAAAATAATATATCTTAAATTTTTACTAAAAAACGCATCTGTAAAAAAAAAAATTCCTTGAGGTAAAAATTATTTCAGAACGATGAATTTTTTTTGTTTTTTATTATCATAATTTCAAATTAACATATATTTATTTTACGCACATGAAGGGTATATATAAAAATAATAATTTAGGTTTGACTAAAGAAGAAGAAAAATTATTATCATTCTAAGGTATAGAAACATATATAATATATGTTCGCGAATTCAAATAGATATCGTTGCGGAACGCGGGTTTCGGTAAGAATCCCATAATAAAAATATTTTAGACCCCATATAGCTAAGGCCTCATTTATAGTAGTTAAATTCAAGCATTGCGTTATTACAAAATAAAGCGTATATGGAGCGTTATGATGATAACACTATGATAAAATTTGAAAAGCATATGTTGCGATGCTTTGATAAAATATATGCTATACGATTATAAAAATAATAGTGAATTCGATAAGTATATAAAATAATTATCTCTATATTAGCTTTATCTTACATTAGTTGTTTAAAACTGAATAAGTCGTAATAACTCTGCGTTAAATAATGCAACGCTTGTAAATGCAGCGTAACCCTACCCCATACGTGTTTTAATGAAACTTATATATTAAAACAAAATTGAAAAATCATAATCAGGTCATCGCCTATATCTAACTAACCCCATTAGCCTACGTATGAAATTATCTAACCGACACCTTCATTCCATAACAATAATTAGCAATGGCAAACTCTAAAAATATAAATCCTTTATAGAGCGCCTCTTTTAAAATTTTTTTTTTGGAAGAGATGCACGTGTAATAGAATATATTTACCTTGTGATTTTCAAACAAATTTTGCAATTTTTATGTATTTCTTTAAAAAAATTCGTATGAAGAAATCTATCAAATGTTTATAGCGAAATTCCCAGGGTATAAGTATACTGTATATTGATTGATAACGATTTTGGCAAAAATCAAATTTTAAAAAAATATTAAAATTAAATGAATATAAGATTTACATATATATATATTTTAAATAAATTTAAGATTTAAATATATATATATTTTAAATAAATTTAAGATTTAAATATATATATGTTTTAAATAAATTTAAGTTGATATTTTTTTTAGTGTCATTTAATGTACAATTTAAAACAAAAATAGGGTTGATCTAGCTTATTCTGTGATTCAGTATGCTTTAATAAATTGTATTAGATTTAATCTAGATATTTTTAATTTAAATGACAACTCTCTATATAAACCACTGACCTTAATCCATCTAGCTAAATTTTATTTAAGACCTAAAATTAACTAATCCAATATACAATCTTTTAATAGGTTTTTTTTCAAAATATTTTTTAGAAAATTTTGGCCTTGAGTATAATAAAAAAAAAAGAAGAGATTTTTATGTTTTATACCCATGTTTAGTGCTTAATCCCACGTTTCGCATGTAGTCGTGAACGCAAGTTGGATCAAATTTTGATAATATATCACTATAAATACGGTGTCTTTTTTGCCCGCCGTTACTCATTCCATTTTGTTTTTTCGTAATTTCGGGGCCCGTGTCATCCGATTTCCTATTTTTTATCATAATATGTGTATCCCAATTGATGTTATCGATATCGTGAAGATAATTCGCTCTTCCAATGTCTACTTCATTCTCCATCAAAGAAAAAGGAATGAATTCGAAATATAAAAAATCAAATTATATTTAATGACAAATATAATAATTTTTTTATTATTACTATCCAAAAAAAGTGTAAATTTTTTTAAAATTTTTCTCCAAATTTTTAAATTTTCTCAAAATTTTATTTTATCTCCTTAATTATTAAGATTTTTGTTGTTAATAAAATATCGATTTGGTTTTTTTTTTACAATTTATTTTAATAAAAAATTTAATCTTAAAATTTAGGAGAAATAACAAAATTGTTTATAATAAAAAAAAATATGACAATTAAAAAAAAAATGAGACATCTAAAATATTTTAATTTAAATTATAAATATTTAATATTTTCAAGTTTGCTTTCTCCAAAAATTAATTTAATGATTTTCATATATTATTTTATTTTTTTTTACCCTTGACATCTTGTTGCATATTGAATAATAGAAATTCTCTTCCGATCATTTAATCTTAAAATCAATATAGAATTATTTTAAAAAATATATGTAAAAATCTGTAAATATTTAAAAAAATATTTTAACATTTACATTTACACTATCATATTATTAATATAAAATAAAAATATTGTATATTTAGATTTAAATTACAATAAACTTTTAAAGTATTGCAGGGTTGGCAAGTCGGTCAATTGATCGTTCACCATTCAGTCAATTGACAGGAGAAGTGTTTGACCTGGTCAAATAGGGTTATATATTCTAAAAAATCTGAAGACAAAGAAAAGTTGAAAATATGTTTAAAAAATAAAAAACGATATAAATACATGTGATCACACATCTCCTTATTTACTGGGCCCACAATATCAAGGGAAACATCTTACTAGTAGAATTTAATGAGGTATATATGATACAAGAATTAGGCATATTACAAAGGTGGTTCTGGTGGATGATCAAAGTATTTCAAGTGATATCTAAATTTCAGATGTAAAAGGGGCATGTTTTATAATAATTTATGCTGAAATCTGTAACTTCCATATGAAATAAATCAGATCGCCCCAATTTAGTGGAATGCACATTACTCACCATGCAAATTAAGAGATGACATTTTACTAACAATTCCTAGTCTAACATCTTCTTCAAAAAAAAATGTTTCGATTTAGGTTATTATTCTTACTAAAACAGAAATCGATGGAAGATCTCGACAACAAGTGGGTTCGGTTTAGGTTCAGTAATAAAGGTTAATACCGGTTTAACAATTCAAATAGTACGAAATTTCCAATTTTCCTTTGTTTTTAGCGATTTAGAATAGGAACCAAATTTTTTATAGCTTTTTCTCAAGTCGAAAGTTAATATTTTTATAAATAGAAATGTTTGGTCTTTTGTCCTACTGTAAGAGAAAATCTCCATCATTATTTTACTTTGATAATAGAAGATTTTTTTAAAATTTTTTTGAAAGACATGAGATGAGATATGTTCCCTTTTATGAATAAATTTAAATATTCATCATTTTCTTTAAAAAATGAATAAATTTGAATTGTAAAATGTAATATATTATAATATCATCATTTATATTTTAAGAAATATGTTGATTTAGAGGATGTTACAAGGAGGCTAGATATGCAATTACATTTTACTCAAGTTCTCGAAGTCAAGATTTTATTTTATTTTTTTTCATTTCAAAGTAAGGAATTGAAGTTAGCATTCGTTTTATTATTGTATAATATGTATATAATGGTTTTTTAAGAGAAAATTGAATATTAATGTATTTTTTTTTCACAGATTTTGATAACTTTCCCCGTCACATTTGCTTCTTCGGAAATCATTCTTTAAAAAATGAATAAATTTAAATGTTTTATTTTTTTATTTAAAATTATATGCCCAAATCGCTTAGAAAATAAATGAATAAATTTTAGATGTAAATAAATACATATAAGTATAGTAATTTCTATCTTTGGATAAATCTGTTATAGTTATAATTGTATATAGTGGCGTTAGACAAGGGAGGTTTGGATATGGAATCTCCCTCAAGTAAAATATGATTGTGAAGAATTATCTGTTTCATAACACTTTTATAATTAATATTTAGACAATTTCCTTTTAATTTTAAATTTATAAAACTCTCCGAGATTTTATTTTCTTCTATTTCTTATAAAATCATCCCAGAGAGGAGCTTCATCCCCCATTTAAAAATACGAGAAAAAAAATTCTATCCATGAATAAATAATACATATTTATTAGGCACATTTCTTTAAAAAATAAAATTCATAAATTCAAAAGCGGGACCCTTCCCAAATATTCTAAGATTAGGAAGGGGCTTTCTCCAAAGAACATATACTGAATTTTCTTTTTCTCAAGTATAAAGGGTCACTTAGAATTAGTTTTTTTTTAAAAACTCTTTACTAAACAAATCGCTTTACCCTAGTACTTACAAGTAAAAAATTATTTATTTTAATCTATTTATCTTTTTTTTGATATCACATTTTATGCCACAAGTCTATTCGAACGCTTTTTTAAATACTACCGCTACTAAATTATAAAGTTATCAAAGATGGAGTCAGGGCAGTGTCATTTTGAAGACAATAAATGCCAATTTTTTATATTTATGATAGTTTATTTTAAAATTTAAGGGATCCAACTTGATGTTGTATATTAAATCTAATGCTCAATTATATATCTCAGATAAAAATAAAATTAAATAACAAAATCAAACGTTTTATTATAATTGCGTTTAATTGCCTCTATATTTTTTTTCTTTATATCTTTCTACCAATAATTGAGTTTTATTATTTTTACTATCAATAAAAGGGATTGAAAAAACTTAATTAAATATATTAATTAAGCATCATATATTGATATAAACTTTAGAATCAGTGCTTTTAAAAGTGTCAAACTTTTGGCTTAAGGTTGAATCTTAGTGTGAGATCATATTCAAATAAAATTTTTAAAAATATAATTTGATTCATAATATAAAAGCATTTATTTTACTTCTATATCTATTAAATAAACAGAAAAGGATAAATAATATGTAAAGATCGTAATCATAAGATTCAAAAATACTCATCCGGGAAAAATGCATCATAATTTTTTTCGATGAAATTTATTTGTGATTCCAAATTTGATATTAAGACGCAGCCTAGAGCGTGACGTTATTATTTTTTATTTCCGCCTATAACTATTTTGCTCGATAAAGAGTACAATCAAATCTTCAATATTATTGAAACCAAATATTCAGTGCTTTATCATTTTCGTTATGGCATTTCTTACCTTGCCAATAATACTTTTTTCTTTTAAATATCTGGTCTAAGCACTAAAATACCAAATATACCCATAATTATTGATATATATGTTAAAAATGAGGCTTCTAGAAGTTGACTAACTTCACGCTTTAAGCATGATATCATATTTTTTATTTTGCTCATATTACTTATTAAGTAAGGCGATGATGCCAATTGTAGTCATTTAATCAAAGCAATTTTAAAATTATCTTAAAGGAAAATAGGTCAACCCGTTTTATATATATTTTTTTTTGCGAATGCCCTACATCACAAAATATGCCAATCTTAGATAAACAAATTTGAGGGAACAAATATTATTCTCATTAAAAATCGAGTTAAAAAATATGAGCAAATGTCGTGTGATGAAATGGCGCGTAATAAAATTTCGCATGGCAAACTGTCGCCATAAGAAATACCCGTCATGATACGGTATCGTCTTGATGATGAAGTATCACTTATTAAAGTATCTATTAATAAATGACTTCTGGCGCTTTAAATGGTAGTGTTAAAATATTAACAGATAACTACTTGTAACTATTTACCCATGCCCATGACTATTAATTGCTCCTTAGGGAAAATATAGTTCTAACTAATTAGATTATTGTGTTTTAAATGTAATTTATAACTAACTTTTTTTTACTTGTGAAAATTTTACAAGTTATTCGATTTAAAAAAATATATATAACAAATATCGGATCCAGTCACTTTTTAGCGATATAATATATAACTAGTGATGTCAAACGTTGAACGATTTTTAAAAACGATTAACTCAATATTTTATTCAGAAAAGTATTTAGCAAGTCTGAAGATTTTCTCATAGATGGTACAAAGGTTAGGGCATCTATTAGTAAAATCTTGAGGCTTTAGGCAATATTTTTCTGGCTAAAATATTGAGTTAGCCATTTTTAAAATAATTTTAACTATAAAGAAGAGTAAACTTAAGCAATACTCTTCAATATATCCTTGAATTAGTTCTCCCGTAATCTTCAAAGATATTTTTTTTTTAAACTATATTAAGATTTCTATCCAGATTATCTAGCCTAAAAACTTATTCATCTCTTGTAGTGTGTATATCTATATTTTAAGTATTTTTCTCTCTCTCAAAAGTTAATATTTATATAATAACCACAAAAATAAAGTTTTTGTTGTGTTATTATAATATTAGTAATATAAGGGATTACAAAAAAAATAGACGTAGAAGGACTAACTAAAAATCAAGAAATAGATTAACATTTAATCGATTCATATAATCTAATTATCAAAATAAAAATATTTATATAATAATATCAGTTTTTATTTTATACTTCAACGAAACTTTAAAAAGGTGACTCCATCTTATCTTGGGCACTTTGACTTACCGAGCCAAACTACTCTATTAAGAAAAGATAATGACAAAATTTATAAAATGTTTACAAATTAGTGTTGTTATAAAGGGAATTTCTCGCGACTCCGAACCCGAGCTATTAAAATCGGTTTAGACTCTAGCCGATCCTTTAAGCCGACCCTTGGGCATTTTTTACATCAAGCCATAGCCAATTACTTCCATAGGTATTTAATTTACCCTTTATTTGGCTTAGATTGGCTTTTGAATTCGAATCGAATTTTTTGCTACCTATATTTTCAGGAACAAAAATCATTTTTTTTAAAAAAAATGTGTTGCTTGTCATTTCAATAGAAAGAAAGATATTTACTTATCAATTATATTTTTCATAGTGCTTTTTTTTATTAGAAGTTATGACTTTCGGTTAAAAAAATCTTATCTGAATTTCGAAATTGCAATAAAATATGATATTTTTTAAAAAATTATGCTGCTAAAGTGGAAATTATTTTTAAGATTTATAACATAAGTTGAAGAAATTAGGGACTTCCAATCAGGAGAATAAAATTGTAGGATTTCCTTTTATTTTTACTAATTTTGATTTAGAAATCTTTTACACTTATTTGCTTAGTTTAATTTTGGCACTTTATAGGTAGGAAGTCAAATTTTACCCCTGTTACTTTTATGGGGAAGCCTCTACATCTTGTGTTACCCCTCTAAATAGAAAAAAATTATATTGAATTCAACATATTTATGGTGAATCGATAGCACGGGTTATAAAATATTAATTTTATCTGTTAAATCCTCAAATGAGCATTTTAATATATATTTTCGCCCAAAATTTTTAATTAAAGATCTTTGTAGATCAACAAAGTTCCATTTTTTAAATTCATCATTTCATCATGAAATATCTTTTATTCATAAAAAATAAGCAAGAGATAGAATTTTAAGCAAAATCTCATAAAAAAAATTTTAGTCATCAAAAAAATTGAATTTTGAATATGAGAAAGAAGTTCTATAAAAATTTAGACAAAAATAGATAAGGATAAGGAAATATAAAAATAATTTCAACAAGATATATAAAACGAATGATTGATTTTAAAAAAAAATTTATATTCTATATTTCTACGAGTATTCCCATTTGGCGACAAGACTTCTTGACAATTGTTTGATTCAATTTTCTTCAAATTTTCATATTAAATTTGTTTTTTTTGTTAAATATTTATAAGTTAGTGCGACAAATTGAGCGTTTCCAACGTTTCAAAACGCTAATAAAAAAAACGTAGCCGCAGCTCTGTTTAAATTAAAGTGGTAACTTTCATTTTTTCAATATGAAACGTTTATATTTTTTTAAAAAAATGGTTGCCTTATATCTACTTAACAGAAACAAAGGAAAGAAGAGGGCGCAAGGCATCGCAAATATATGTATTTTTTTTTGAATATATTAATTTATAAGGGGATTTGAAAAATTCATAATTTTATAATTATACATGAATGAGAAAATCAACTTTATTATACATTCTCGGGTTAATATTATGCTGATATATTTCCAAAATTTACTAATTATAACAAGCAATTGATACTGAAGTTAGATTAAAAATTTTTAAGAACGGGTAGGTGGTTGTTTATTTCTATATTTACCCTTTTTATTTTAATTTTATTTTTTATAACATAAAACATATTTTTTAATCTAATTTTTATTTGTAAATTATATTATGAATAAAGAATATATATCTAAAAAAATTAAAAATATTTACAAGTTTAGATATTAATAAACTTAAATCTTTAATGTGGGGAACAATTTAAAATTATTTTCGATGGAAATGACAACAAGCTAGATTGGATTCCCCTCAATGATTGCGAATCCATCTATAAATATAATAACAAAAGTAGCACATCCTTCTCCATCGGCATTAATGTTCATCAGCAAAATTATGAAAATTTGATAGATAATAAAAAAAAAATAAGAGGTCATTATTAAACAAAACGCTAAATCGAATTTTTATTTTAAGAATATCGTGCTAGAGACATTAGGTATTTTAATTTTTATTATATTATTCTTTAATCTTTTTTAGGCCATTTCCAGCCATTAAATGACCTGAATTTATATATCTTTTACAAAGATTTGTAGACTTAGACATATGGAAAATTGGATGTCGATAATTATTCCATGCCCCACAACAGTTAGCAGGCACGTAGCCAATGTTACTGAGGATCTTAAGGATATATTATTACCTAAAATTGGAGAAATGATAAGAATTTGCTCATGCAATATGTGGTGTGAGGCTTTTACTAAAACCTATTACATATATCTATCAATCCATTTTATACAAAATTAGAAAAAAAAATCTTCTTTGAGCAAGCTCAAAATTTTTTTTATCGAAATAATTTTAGCATTTTTTTTATCTTCAAAAGAACCCTGATTTTAAAAGTAAATAATAAAAATTATTTGTGTGAAAATTTTTTGGTTTCTTACACTTCAAAAGAGATAATGAAACAATTTCCATGAATTCTGACAAATTTTGATGTGCTTGATGATTATATTGTATTTACAGGATGTATTAATAGACTTTACTCTCGAATATAGTCACCTATTACTAAATATCTTGTATTATAGATATAATACAAGTTTTAATTTATCATGAAGTCTATTAATAAAATAAATATGCCTTTAATTCCTAAAGAAAAAAGATAATAGATATTTAACATTTTTCTTAAACAGATTTTTGAATTATTTTGAACAAAGTATTTAACACCATCTATATTAAGTTTTAAAATATCTAATATAAATTATAATATAAAACCTTAGATGTTTTTCATATAACCCCTATTAGAACTGCAATTTCTCCTACTTAAAGGAAACGGAAACTGTCTCTTAAGAGTAAATGATAAGATTTAAAATAATTAAAATAAGAGTTTTTATTTTTAGGGAAGTTTTAAGAATAATTATTCAAACAAAAAATGGCACTCGGAAAGACCCTTGTGCCAAATATAAATTATTATTGTGTTTAATTATCTAGCACCAAAAGTTGCGCTCTTATGCTCAACTATGTCTTTCAATTAATTGATAATCACTAAAAAATATAGATAGGGGCAAGCAAAAATACGAACCTTTTTCATGTATAATTAGAAATTCAAGCAAAAAGATATTTGGCCAAAAATTAATTTTATAACATAAAAAATTTAACCTATTGAACTATTAATAGAACATCTTTACCGAATTTCTAAGGAACGAATCAAAACTTAATAATTTCCAAAATGATTTTAAACCGTTTTCTTCGAAACAGTGTTCAAAGAAAAAACTGAATATTTTTTTAAGAAGATCAATCATTTAAAAATTTTTTGATATCATCATTTAATGCATAAAATTCACAAAAGATTTTTCAAAAAAGATTTGGAATTTTAGGTAAAATTTGTAAAAATTTATTTGAGAAATCTTAAAAAAATATATCTTCAAAGATCAAAATCTTTGTTGATTGTTTATTTTGAAGAGCATTTCAAACTATACTTTTACTTTGGATTTCAATTTAGTGATAATTTATTTATTTAATTTTGCTATTAAAAATCTATTTCATTATATTTTAGGTTGGTCCAATATATAAAAAAAATTAAATTTATAAACTTTTGAAACTTTAATGATAATAAATAAAATATTTAAAAATATCCTATACCATCCCTACCTTTACATATTTCGGGTCGTATAATATATATCGCTAGATACCTGCAACTATATAATATAATTAAATATAATATCACAATTTAATGATAGATATCTCTTTTTTTAAATTTCTTTGTTAAAGTAGTGATTTATTCAACAAACCTAACTGTATGTTTAGTAAAAACCTCTTTGTTGGGCTCCCTAAACCATTAGATTTCTTGCCTCATATTGAACAAAAGAGTGTTCTTTTTATTTCTTAAAATTGATAATTATAGAATAATTTTAGCGTTGTTAAAAGGCTAAATTATATTTAAAAAAATGCTGACATATTATTTTAGCCAAAAAATTTTACGCAAGGCTAGAGATTATTTATTGATGGTAGACTGGTTTGGATATCTATCAACGAACTCGAGTTATTGAAATTATAACTGTGCGAATTGGGGGAAAAAATATATGTATATAATAGTTTAATTGTGTAAAGAACTTCAATTGGAGTAGTGTTGTTTTAGAAAACGGCTAACTCAATATTTTTTCCAGAAAAATATTATGCAAGCCTGAAGATTTTGTTCATAGAAGGCATAAAGGTCTAGACATATATTATCGAAATCTCGAGACTTAGTCAATATTTTTCTGGCTAAAATATTGAGTTACCCGTTTTTAAAAATCGTCTCAAAACGAGCCGTTTAACAACACTAAATTGGAATCCATATAAAAAAAGAATTATTATAAAATTATTGATTACTTTGTAGATCGATTTTTAGAAAGATTGACACAAAATGTTTATAATCTATCATGTTTAAATATTATCCCATTTTATATCAAATAAAATGAGCCCATTAGAATCAAAAACGTTATATCATGAAATTAAAATAGCAAAAGGATTATTAGCTGTAGAAGTTTAAAAAACATAAATTTGAAAATATATTTTAAGAATTGTATAAATGCTCTTTAGCAGCCATCATCATGTATCCGGGTTTTTTCAGGTCTCATTCTCTAAACTAAAGAGAGTTCTATCACTGGAGAATCGCTGAAAGTTCGACGTAAAAATTTAATATTAATGGCTTATGGAAGAAATAATATTACAGAAAAATTTTTTGTACGCAAGCTATTATAATCTCTATATTAGGACAAAATTTAAATATAGAAATATCTTTATTTTAAAAATGGGATGAGGTGGCTTGCCCCCCCCCCTCAAGATTCAACTAGTCCCGGTCTTACCTTTCTTTTAAGGGGTGGGTTAAAAAAAATAAACAATCAGAAATAAATAATTGCACACAACTTTTTTTTTTCATTATGCCTAAATCTAAAATAATATGAAACCAAATGAGTCGAATACAATTTTTGAAAATGATAAAAATGGAAACCCGATGTTCAATACACAATATAATTTATAAATATAGAATGTAAAAGTGGTATCTCTATTAAAAATATAAAAATGCCATTTAAAGACAGTTTCCAAACACATTTCGAAACTTCAATTTTGAATAAATACAGACACTTTAAATAAAATTAAAACAAGACTTCAAATATAGTATAGTAAAATTCGTGGGAAAAGTTATAATCCCTAAAAAAAAACCTTCTTACGAAATGCGGCTTCTACAATTTAAATTTAATGAAATAAAATTATCTTAAAAATAATATTAAATTAAAATTACGAAAAATAAATATTAAAATTATAATAAATATATAATAAATACATCAAAAATTTTATAATTAAGGTTAAATTAATTTTGATCATAATAATGTGTGTCCTCTGTAGGGGTAGGCAGAAATTATTAACATCTATAAAGCGCATTTAATTTTATTAACACCAATTTTATCGGCCAAACTATTCTATATCGATGTAAAATAGATTGTATTAATATGTTTTAAAAAAAGAGAAATTTTATGTATACCAAAGATGAAATTTGATTTGTGTGATATTTCACTCCCATTTGTTTGTCGGCTTCCTTCATATGACTTCTAGCTAGGTCCCCGGGTACTATAACTCGATGTTGTTCCTCTAACTTAATAATAAATTTATTTATTTTAGAGGAGGAGGGGGGGGGAATTGATTAGGGATATTTTAGGTATGAGTACTTTTATTCTTTCCGCCAATTTTCCAATATTAGGATATGGAATTCCATGGGAATTCGGAATTTCTCAATTTTGAATCATTTATTAAGAGCAATTTATTGAAAATCGAATTTGACCGGAAATGTGTTTCAGTGTAGAGGTAATGGGGTTGTAAAATTTATAATTTTTGCATAAATTTGTGTATTTTTCAATTTATGAAAAATGTGTATATAAACATGAAGATAAATTAAAGTGTAGTTCTAAAGTTAACAGCGAAACTGTTTGAAATTCACAGTGTTTGTAATAGCGTTGTTAAAAAGCCTGATTTGGGTCGATTTAAAAAACGGCTCGATTAAGATTTTAACCAAAATAATATTGTGTAAGCCTAGAGATTTGGTAAATAATGTCTAATCTATGGTAAAAATTATCAGGCATCCATAATATTATTTTGGTTATAATCTTAATCTAGTCGTTGTTAAAAATTGATCTAAATCGGACTTTTTAGCAACACTAGTTAGTACTCTTGACTTATATAGGAATACATTTCCAATTTAGATGTTTGAAATTTAAAAGTGGCCCTTAGTAAATGATTCAAAATTTTGAGATTCTGAAAATCCCCGTGGATTCCAAATCCCAATACGATACATATAAAAAATTTTATAATAAAAAATTACATTAATTTAAACGTCCAATTTGTATTAAATAGCGTACATATTAAAAAATATATAACGCAGATTAAAAAAATAAACACAACAATTCGAAAGCATTATGTCAATTTTTTTTTTATTGCAACCCTTAATAGGATCATCGAATCATACCTTTTTTAAAAAATAAAAATTAGAAAACAAATTCCCTAATTGTGCGATTTAATAACCATGATACAAATTACAAACCTCACAATTTAATTATATAAAATATCATTCATATGATATATATAAATACAAATAATGACATAATAATCCCTCATTGCAACTATTATCTATTATTTCTTTGAGGGGCTTAAACCTTAATTACATTTAAGATAAACTCAATGAAAGGGTAAACGGGAAAATGGATATATAATAATGCAAGTCTAGAAATACTATGATATTAATAAAAAAATTATTCCTTTAATGACACACTGTCAATAAAAAATGGTATTAAAATTTTTTTGAACAGAAATCAATTTCTGAAACTCTATTATTTTACAAAAAAAAACTATAATCTTAATTGTAAAACTAATGAATAGAGCCGATAGATAAAAACGGTTCAAATAAATAAAAATGAACTTTTACTAGGGAGAGATCCCAAACCCTGAACCGGCTAAACCCGGTTTTGGGTTAATCCAAGAACCCGAAGCTTATTTATTTATTTGACTTGAACCCAAAACTAAAAAAAAAGTAGGTTCATAAAAGAAAGGGGAATTCATAGTTGGCACAAATTAGTAGCGAAGTATATAAAATTCGCGGGGGAGAAAATACAAAAATACAGCATATTTTGTAGACTTCGCCGCGAATTCGTGCTAACTGTGAACGCAGAGTAAGATATACTCTAAAAACTTGCTTTATTAGGAAAAAATATAATGTCAAGATATCATTTGGGTGAATAAATGCATGAGTGAAATGATCGATGATATATTTTTGACCGAACAAAAGTTTTGCAGGATAAACAATTAACATTGGGTATTTTCTATTATCTGGCAAAAATATATTCTATAAATTTAAGCGAACACTCCTCTGGCAACTTAGAAAAACCAATGGAAAGCAAACTGCCTTATAAATAATGAATAATATTTCATTTTCTTTTTGTCTTATATTTGGATACTACTAGAGGCCTGCAATAGGAGGGCGTTTAGCCCGCCCCCCATTCTCCGGGTGGGCTCTAAAATATCTTAACAGGGTGGGTTGCAGGCTAAGAGATATTTTAAGACAACGGACGGGAGATGGGCGGTGAATTTAAAATATTTTTCGGGCAAAATGAGAACAGACTTCTATTTACTAAAAAAAAATCATTTTTTTTTTTTTATTTCACATTAAAATAAAATTAATAAAGAGCCAAACCAGCCATATAAAATAATTTTTAAATATTGAAAGGGCGGGCTGGTCAAACAAAATTTTCAGATAAATAGGGCGAAGGGTGGATAAATTAAAAAAAGCTTAGACGGGCGGGAGAGCGAGACAAATTTTTTTAAACCTGAGACGGTCGGGTGTTCGGATTAAAGCAGCCCACTGAAGACCCCTTCGCTAAATACTAACATCCAAAGGACATACACTTTTGATAAAAACGTGCCATTTAATAAATTTATGAGGCGAGAATGAAGAAATGTAATGATTTTATTAAAATTATAGATAATGGTAAAATTAGCGACGACGTGAATTTATTCTCTAATCTTGCCCTAGTGAGTTGTTGAAAACGCAGATAATTATGAGAAAATATTTGGTCAAAAATCAATAAAATGACGAAAAGTATATTAGAAACATTTTCTTAAAAAATTAACTAAACTCGTCTGAACCTGCTCCAAACCCGCGAAGAAAAAGGGAAGTAGAAAAATAATGCATCATATTTACCGAATTCGAGTTTCTCAGATTATCCATCAAATCACTCATCCTATCTTCAAAATTAGGCGCAAACATATTTGGATTAATAACCAAAAAGCTATGTCCCTGTATTTTAAAAAAAATAATATTATTACATTTATTTTTGCCGTTTATTTCTGAGATTTTTTATAAAATTTTATTTATTTCTAAATAAAAAGTAAATAAAAATAATAATTAGATATATTTAGCAAGATATTCATTCCTTTATATTATAATCATTATTTAACTCACCAAATTAGCGGGACGCGACTTATCTGTCCACTTTTTAACGTGGGGGCCATAATCGCTTCCACTAACTATACCACTCATTATTTCAGCCATCATTGCTAGACCGTAACCTTTGTAACCGCCAGTAATCTCTTCGCCTCCTAAAGGCAACATCGCTCCCCCTTTCAATATTTTATCGTGTTTACAAGTCGGTTCTCCCTTTGAATCAACTCCCCAGCCTTTAGGTATGTCCAAACCCATCATTTGATTCATTTCAACCTTTTTTGTCACGTAGAAAATATGAAAATGTATAATCTACCCTAATAAAAAAGCACATTATTTTGTCCAAAATTTTGATTAACCTTAAATAATATTATCTATTGGAAAATTGGCTTGAATTGAAATTGTCAGAATATCATAGCTAAATGGTGCAAAATTAGGGTAGGTATGCTATACATAAGAGATAATGCCCGACTCAATACTCAGCCAGACCTATGAGTCGGATTACGTCTGAAAAAATTTTTTTGGGCCAGGCTGGACAAATAAACTAACGGGCCGGGGCTAGTGTACAAGAAGTAGAGATGCCTATCGCGCTTAATAGAGAATAGGAAAAAATTATTCTAAAGTCTAATTTTGTTAAGATAGTATATATTTTACTTTGCTTATAATTTATTCATTCATGAATACGATTTCTTTTTCCTATATTTGGCGTTTATTGCTCTAGAAAATCATCAAACCTAAATTCTCATCATAATTAGTAAGTATTTTTTTCATAGGATATATTTCTGAATTTAATAAAAAAACACCCGCCGGACAACTTTCGTAAGAAAATTGAAACCCGGCTGAGTAGACACGATCGGTCAAAAACTAAATACTAACCGGGTCGGGCTTGAAAAATTGAAAGTCTAACTTTTAGAAATAACTCACGCTATAACCAATTTGATTGCTAAAAATACGCCCACACTCAGCGAACTCACTAAAATCCTGCGACACACACGCGAATTATAATACTTATATATTCTAAAAAAAACTTTTCCAAATGCTACAACTGATGTGGCCATATCGAGAGAAAAATAATCGCCAAATAATCCCGGGGCATTTACGGATAACGGGTTTGATCCTATGACAATGTCTTTTCCTCGTGTCGGAACGTTGCAGGGGGACGTGTTTGAGCAGACGATTCCCTTCATATCACATTATTTTATTTTTATTTTATAACAACTATAATATCTTATACTATTAATCCACGATTCGAAGCCAAAAGAGAGTAAAAGCCAGCTATGCCAAAATGATTGGAATCTAAACGAAGTTATATGAAGATTATGAAAGTCAAGTAATGTGAACTTTTGCAAGTGACATATCCTATCCCGGTGTTCAAAGCTTTTTCGATGGCCAAGGACATGCAATATAACCCAACAACAGGTCCCAATAAATTATTACCATCTATCCAAGCTATCGATTGGGTTTCATTGAGAATTATAGGCTCTCCATCTTTGTTGCAGGCCCCGGAGCTGACATCTTCTACATAATTGACTAGATTATGTATTTTTTTAAATGTAAAAGTGTTAAAAATTATATTTTCGATAAAATTGATTTTTTAAAAAAAAAAAAAATTACATAGTCTATTTATCCCGTGGCTAAAATGTCCTCTGTAATCAGCTGTGTATAGCAAATCGGCCAAAGCTTTTGAATGTTTTTCACTTGTGCCTACTGACGTCATACAATCAATTATAAAATCGTGAATTTCATTTTTCCCAATTAACTTAAATTGATTGCTCTCTTTTTCTTTTACGACAGATTTGGATATATCGCCATTGGTCGAACCATTCAAATATATATTGCTCGCCATTTATAATTAACTGCTTGTAATATAATGGATTAAATAAATTGGATTAGTAAAGTATTTAACTGGCATATATTGATTAATATTAAAGGATATGAAAATTAGGGCAACAAATTGATATTGTAAACAAAATAAAAATCAAAAATTAAAAGCCATAAATTATATAGAGATTTGTTTAAAATGAAGGGAGGTTAAGAATTGGGTTTAATAATTTTAATATCAATGTGTAGCTCAATTATTGATCTATCAAATTAAATTTGTATTCAAGACTTTACGAATAATAATTTCTGAGTTATCTGAGTTGATGTGGGAGGCACATAGCCAGAAATTTCTAGTGGGGGGGGGGAACTATTTGGGAGGGCAAATATTTATATGAAATAAACCGAATAGTCAGGCCCTCATAAATATTTTAATTTGAAAAAGTATTTGTCCTCTTTGAATTGTTTTGAAATATTTCCTAGATCTAAAAGTATCTTTTAACAACTTTGGGATTTTCATTTAATTATTTATAAGTGAACGGATAACTATTTTTTTTTATTGGAGGCCTTATATGGGGGCCAAAAATTTATCTAGGGACCAGGTTTTGGGGCGAAAATCTCCCAGGGGCTAAGAGTTACCTGGTTTTCTTTGACTGCCTATATACCGTTTATTAAATTATTTGAGGATTTCATTTATAAATATGAAATATTACAATATAGAATACTTGAGTAAGCAGCTAACCTAAATATATCTCGATTTAAATATTCCAACCTAATTGAATAATTTTAATTAATATACATCTCAATTCATCATCAGACTCATCTATTCAATTTTTTTTTTAAAGATTGGGATAATAATTGTTATGTTAAACATACGATTTGTTTCAATATAAATTTAACCAGACTCATCTATTAAGTGATATTTTTTTATGGCTACTCAAAAAATGCATGTCATAAATAGTCACATTTTAAGTCATTTCAAAAAAAAATTGGGTTATAAAAGTTAAAGGAGGTGGCCAGTCTACCCCCATGACCTTTGAGGCATCTTCTTGCTACTATATATAAATAAGATATCCTACAAATGACAAAATTTTAGGCACGGGTTTTAATTTTTTTAAATTTATTTTCAAGCCTAACTGGCTTCGACTTAATTTGTATTTTCAAGCGGGACTCGAAATATTTTTTTAGAAATTTTTTGAACCTCGCGAAATTAAAAATTAAATTTTCTTTATTTTAAATAATTTTGGCTGCTTTTGCTAATTATTTTTAAAGGAAAATTATAAATATTAACAATAAATGAATATTAAATTATCCATTACGAGGTTTTCCAACCCTTTGATTAATATACCTAATTTAATTCTAAAAAATTAATATCGATAAAATTTATTGGAAGATATTCCAATGAAAACCTTCCGAAAGTACGGTCATTATTAGTTACTTGCCTTTTAGAAGTTATTTTAACAATCAAAATAAACTAATAAAATATGAAAATATTTTCAATCAAATCTGAAGAAAACAGTAAATATCAATCAGGAAGTTTATATTTAACAGAGACCCGCAGGTCCGGACCTGGACACACGGGCCGGACTCTATTCTAATTTTTTAAATATACCCCGGTCGAACCTTGCCTAAAATTTTTTTAACCAAATAAATTAAATCAATCACCATTATTATCTATTAAAATAATTTTCGTAAGGGCCCTGAAAATATATATTTTTTTTAAATCTAGGCGCCATGTAAGTGGGGCCTCTGTAGGTCTCCGATATTTATTAATAGTGAATATAAAAATTCAAAAAAAAAAGGATTTAATTTTTCAAAATTATAATAAATGTTCAGCCTTTCTCAGGTTGAATTATAATTTTTTTTAAAATATATCTATGACTATAAAAAGAACTTTTCACGATTTCCGGTTTTATCTAGCTTTGATATTTCTCTAAATATATAGTCGAAAATTATTCAGATCTAAGAATTCTAATTCAAATAGAGTTCATATTCCTATTCTTACATAATATCTTATGAAATAAGATTAGGGTTTTGAAGACCCATAGGGTTAATTTTTTTATAAATTATAATTAATAATTATTTAGATTTTAAAATAAATTCATTTCAATTAGTTTTATTATTAAATCAATAAAATATATTTTGTGGATTCAATTTCTCTTAGTATCATTAGGATTATAAAAAAATATTAAAAGCGCAGCACATAGCTAGGCTTATGAAAATAACTTTTTAAGGTTCAGTTATTACCCCTTTAGTACTAATCGTGGATAAACACACTGAGTAAAAAAAACTCTTGTGGGTTCTGACCTGTGTTTAACATTTGCTCAAATTCTAAAAATCTTCTAAAACAAAAAATATAAAGTTTTTTTTGTAAAAAATTAATAAAATGCTTTTTGTAAAAAAAATCTTCTTTGATTTTCCCTTTGATGTTTTTTTGAAAAGAATAAAAAGAAATTTACATTTTTCTCAAAATCTTCTTTTAACGTGCTCAAAATTTTTTTTTACGTAAAGATCTTCAATTTTTGGATCTTCAAAATTTTTTTTGCTAGAAATTCATTTGAAGATTCTTCGAATCCGTCACAAATGGCTAGATTTTTAAATCTATTGAACCTGGATATATGTGACTCTAAGATAAATTTAATTGTAAATGGCAATTTCCAAAAAAAAAATTAATTTTTTAACATGCTTGAGGTCCTTTAGCTGGTTCCTAATTTAATCGCTCAGAATAAAAACTGAAATGCTCAATATATCTCTTAATGCTCAAATTGAAAAATAACTTATTTGCTCAGAAAGAAATACTATATTGTATAAAACTGAAACGCTCAGAAAAACGAATCACTTATATAAATGTATGAAACTCTCAGAATTATCAAAAATTCTGAGCTTTAAGTATTTTCAAAAATATTTTGACCGTTTCAGTTAAATATAATGTCAATATAAAATTAATCCAAAAACAAAAAATATTTTTACTTGATTTTTGAGGAATATTCCGGTGGATCGTTATTTAATTTTATTAAAGTGGAATGAATATTAAATTATTTTACTATTTTAACTGATACATAATTGTCAGAATATTACAATTTTGGCCTTTTAACTAAATTGTAAAAAAAAGAAGAAGAGATAAGAAAAGCAAAGAAAAGAGGGAAATTATAGAAGTTAAAATTATAACTATTTTAATAAAACTCGGCCATAGAGTATAATTGACGACCTTTGAATTTGTTTATCATTCGAAACAATTGTAAACGTTATTAAAAATTTAGGTAACAAGATTGTTTATTATGCATAATTAAAATTATGCGTATTAACACAACAAACTGGTGGTAAGCTGATTTTTTTTTCTTTCTTCTATTTTAAATGTTTTCTATGAAGGGGGGTGGTTGTTTAAAAACGGCTAAATCAAGATTTTTAAAGCTAAATTAAAATTACACCTAAACCTCAAATAAATATATCATTCTGCAATCTATGAACAAAATTATTTTTTTGGCTAAAATTTTGAGTTATACGTTTTCAATAATCGCCTAAATCTAGCGGTTAACGAATATGAAGATTTTAAAGGCAATAATAAATCTCCGATATTTTTTTAATTTTTTTTTATAATTTAAGGGAAAATTTGATTTGCTTGAGAATTCTTTTAAAAAAAATCTTCTCTTAATCTTCATTTAAAAAGAATGCTATATTTTGAAGAACATACAAACTCTAATTCGAATTATTCGTTAAACTATTATCGTTTTAATTATATTTAAAAAAATGTAACTTATTACAGTTACTAGTTATATTTTTCGTAAAATTTACAGTTTTTATATACAAAAAACAATGTAACTATAGGAGCCACTAATGATCTCGTTTATTCCTCAAAAGTGTATTCCAGAGTATAATATTAATTTTTTTTTAATGAATTCACAAATAAATTATTTTTGTTTGTCAAAACAAGATTGAGAGGATAGGCTAATATTTTTTTTAAAAAAAATCTCGCAGTTACGATATCTTACTACTTATATTCTTTTCCTTTCTTTCTTTTTTTTTCTTTCTTTCTTTTTTTTTTTTTCTTTCTTTCTTTTTTTTTCTTTCTTTCTTTACTGTACCTTTTTATAATTCAAATTTCCTAAGGTTTTGTATCTTAGCTAATCGGTAAGAGAGATTTGACAGTAAACCTATTTTTTTTATTGAAACATCATTTGCACCCTTAATATTTGAAAGTAAGGCTTGCATAACGTAATATTGGATTTTAATTTTTAAATAATAACTTTATTTGACACTTTTTTAAATTTATAACTTTATAGATTTCGTGATCTAATTTCAAATGATTTTTTTTTTGATTATTAAAAAAATAGTAATTTTTTTTCCTCTTCCCCATTATTAAATACTTTAATTATTGGCGATTGTAATCGAATTGTTTTATAAATCAAAAGTAGGACATTAACAAGTTAAAATAAAATTCCATGTTAGTTTGCTGATAACTAATATTATATATATAATATAACGACATTGTATAATTTATGCTTGTAAAAAGTTCACATTTAATAGAAAGAAAAAAAATAATGTTTTTTGTTTTGTAATAAATTATTAAAATAAGTAATTATTCTATTATAAAATTTCAATAGATTAAAAAGCAAATTTAAAATTTTACAATAAGTGTATATAGGAAGGCAGCATAGAACGTTTAGCGGCCCAATGATACAATTTCTTCCTTTTGTATAATTTTGGGAGAGTTTTTTTCAATTCGCTGTCTATCATTCGATTAAGTATTGAATGTTTAGTTAAAACCGGTCCGTTATGGCGTTTCTTCTTACTAACTCTGGGTGTTCTGATTTTTCTAGTGTTAATATTATCTTTTATTAAACTAATTTTCTTGATCCTATTGGACATCCCTAAAATCTTACTTCTCAGTGGAGCTACAGTACTAGGTTTGGATATCTTTGTACGATTGATGTTAACACGGGGTTTATTAACTAAACTAGAAGTCGTAATTTTATCTATAATTTTACTCTTTAATGGTTTAAGCTGGGTCGTTAGATTTTTCTTGATGCAGTATAAGGCGCTGTTCGTTGGGATACTATTCGATTGTAGCTGAAGTTGGGTTTGATTTGCGACCGAATATGTTATCCTCAACACACTGGCAGTGAAAATGATAGATAATATGCAATTATTGATGAACATCTTTAGAGTAAATGAAAAAATATAATTTATTAGAATTTAAAATAAATAATATAACATAAAAATCAGATTAAATTTTAAATATAAACCTAATTATTTCATTTTAAAATAAACTAGTCTCCATTTCTTTCTTCTTCTTTCGCAAATAAAATCTTAATCTTCGATTCGATGCATGTTAATCTATGTGTTTTTTGGAAGTTTTTAAATATTAAAATGATTAAAACAATATAAGGATTCATTATCTTTGAATCGTTTATTAAAAGATGTTTATAAATTTTAATAAAGAAAAAATTTAAATATATAAAAATTAAGAAACATGCAATATAAGGATTTTATAAAGTATAGAATAAATATTTAAAAAAAATTTTTTTTTTTTAAATTTTATGATTGATTTTCCCCCTTATATATCAAGAAACCCAAACCAGGATATAATAGTCAATTGAATTATATTATCTTACCTTTTTTCAAAAAATAAAAAAGAATGATTAAATTTGACAATTATAATATTTCGATGTTTGATAAACTACTCTACAGATAAAACTTGGTCCGAGGCTACTAACTAATATAGAAGAATCTTTAAAGACATTTAAATTTGACTAATCAGATGGTGAAAAGATACTAATCTATCTGAAGCTGAACAACTATAATCGCAGTAAATAAAGAACTATTACTGACATTTAAAACACATTGTTACACTAAATGTAAAGAAAATAACCTTCCATTTTTTTAGCTAACAATTTCAAAATAACCTTCCATTTTCTTTAGCTAATAATTTCAAAATGACCTCCTTTATTAAAGTATTTTTAAAAAATTCCAAATTTTGGTTCTTCAAATCTCTCAGGAAAAAATTGATCATAAAAGATATTTAACATCTGTGGCTTCAAGTATTTTAATACTAGAACCCAGAATTAGCCTAATTTGTCCAAGAAAAAATAGTTTTTTCTGGTCCGGTCCTATCCCACCCCTAATTTTTAAAAAATCCGGTCATCCTCTTAAAATTATTATAATTTTTAATCTATTAAATTTACCGTTGTATAATGGATTTTTAAAATCAATTTCTGAGGTAAAATTTCTTATAACTAGATTAGATAGATTGGACTCGTTTATTAGTTACAACATTTACACAATATTCAGAGTTCGGGTAATTGTTCTATTTTTTTTATAGCTTTTTGTTTAAAAATATAATAAACTTTGTGGAAAGCTTAAAAAATATCTAGAGCGCCTCGATTCTTAACGAATTTTCTCTGGCACACATAAATTCGAGTCGAATCGGCTTATTATTAGCTACTCAACTGTAAATATTCAGTTTCCAGAATATCAAACAACTAATCATCATATTAATCATTCTATCCAATGGCCATGGAACTAATAAGACTCTTTTTTTAATACATATTCCTAGTTTCGCTAGATTAGTTACGCATTTCGTCATTAATATTAAAGTACTGTACCCTAAACTTTTCAGCTAAAATTAGTCAAGAATGCTCGAAAACTAAATTTCAAAATCATATTTTTCATATACACCATCTTAGTTTAATTAATGCGAAGGTACAAAATTGATTGTGGGACATGATATAAATTAAAAAATAAAATTGCTTGGATAAACGAATTAATTAGTGATAGGACTAAATATTAAAATAAAATAAAACTTTTCTCCGAGACACTTATTATCTAGGAAAGTTTAAATAAAAATTCAAAAATAAAAAGGAAGGTGAGGATTACTCAAATTTTTTTTTGTTTGAAATAATATCATTGTAATTTGTAAAAAAAGGAAGGAAACTCTTTATAAATTTCAATTTGTAAAAAAAATATATTACTAGTACTCCTTCTCTTCTTAAAATATTATACTAAATAAATTTTGAAAACTAATCCATTTTAAATGGGTAAGCAATATACAATCTAAATATATTTTTCAGGTCCGGTTAGATAAATTTTTTTATAAATATGCTGAATCAGACACCTGAGATCAGAAGAATTTTGTCCAAATCAAGCCAGGCCCATATAAACATTTTTAAAAATCAAGGTCCGACCTCACCGAAAGAATGTATCTCCGTGTCTAAACGATTCTAGTTCGGTTGGATCGGACAAGTATGAGCAACGAGGTAATAGGGAAAAAACTCCATGGAAAAAACCCCACCAAAAAACCTAAATTTTTTTTCTTAATTTATATTTTTCTTCCCATTTAGCTTTAACATTAGATATCTATCTTTTCTCAATTTTTTTCTTCTCAATTTAATTTTGATAAATAAATTTATAAGTGATTGCTCATGGATGTATTACCTTATTGTTTATCATTAAGGGTTTAAATTAATATTTAATCAACAGAATTAAAATTGTTTATCAGAATTGAAAACGCTATAATTCCTGGTATTTAGAAAATTGAAAATTTAATAATTTGTTAAAAAATATAATTGTTCGACAAGTACCTAAATGAATAGTTATTAAGATGTATTACCTTATTGTTTATCATTAAGGGTTTAAATTAATATTGCCCTAAGCTTCTTTTGTGGCATGATGGACGGCTTAGCTTCTGTTCCTTTATGTGATATGTGCAATGCAATGGCATTGCTGAGATCGGTGACTCCGACCAATGGTAAAGATATTCTTGAATATTTCGATAAAAATTACATCAATGGAGTTACAAGGGAGGTTTCAAGAAACAATTCTCAATCACGGACACGTCGAATTGGGCCCCGATTTCCTCCAGAAACTTGGAACGTGAATGAGAGCACTCTATCCGACGAAGAACGCACAAATAATCAATGCGAAGGTTGGAATAATCGTTTTTCTAATTGGAAACAAGCACCAATCAATCTGGGTATCGAATAAAAAAATGAAATGAGAGGTGGCTGCCGATGAAACCAAATTTGAACGATGGCGTATAGGCAATTGGACACCGAAAACAAAATCGCAGTTTCAATACACAGATTCGGTTAAAGAAACTTTGCGAGGAATACCGTGATGGGGTGCGAAGCCTTCCAGATTTTATGAGGGCGATTTCCTTCAATATACGATGTCAACCGATATAATTATTATTGAAAATTTATAAATTTGTATATACATAATAATGATTTTTTAATAAATAAACAGATCTTATTGCAAATTTTGTCAAATTTAGTCTACTTAATATAGTAAAAATAAGTAATACATGGGTTATTTTACTGATGTATTTTTTTGTCCCAGTACTAATTTGAACATCAGCATTTTTTAATGGAGGGTATATGAGATCTACAATATTTTTTTTCTAAAATACTAATTTGTCTATACCTTATTAAATCTAAATAAAAATATACCGATATTATTAGGTCTTAAGTAAATTCGAAAAAAAATTTCGGGGTTTTTTTCCGGGATTCAAGCAACGCACATCTCTAAATCGGAAACCCGGGGTAAAAAAAGAATTCTGATTATTTATAAGGAAGTGCTTCTAGTTCCGGTTTCGCTTAAATTTTAGAAAAGTAGGTTCTGGTTTTTGAATTTGAATGCGGTTCTGGGGGTTACCGGTTGTCGTTCTAAACTCTATAAGTCTACTGGGAAAATGAAATATAATAATTGCATTCAATATATCAAACTAGGTCTGGTCTTGCTATAAACACTAAGTAGTGCTCAATGGGTTAAAATAGAACGCCAGTTTAGTTTAAGCTGTTTATATGAAACTCTGTGCAAAAAAACAGTCGATACGTAAAAAAAAACGTAAAATAAAAATATGATATATCTTATTTTATTAAATAATACTTATTTAAAAAAATAAATAAAAACACAAATCGATATTTTTAAAAATATATTATATTGATGAAATAATATAAACAATTACAAGTGAATATTACATAATATCAAAATTATATGGGTATAATATATTTTTTTCGTGTAAAGATGATTAATGAAGAAGATAAAAATTATCATGTTTACAAAATATTCATTTATAATTATAATGTATAAGGCGATGATGATAAATTATCTTATAATATATATTATATTCATTTAAAAGATAGCATCTTTAAAAAAATTAATTCACGATATTATTTAGCCATTTCCAGTTGCGCCGATTAAATTAGTCTCGATACAAATAATGGTACATTTACAGGCATAAAACAATTATTTATTTTTATAAGGCTTCGAATTTTCGTAATAGATAAGGCTTTATTTCTTGTTCAATCAGGTCGTTCAACAAAGACGAGCTCTGACTTTTGCCATTCAAACTCAAAAGGCATGCATTGGTATCGGATTCATGATCAACCTAAGGTAATAAAAAATTATAGAAAATATAAAAAATAGTGATTGACGGGTCAAAAAAATTTTTTTGTTTTACTTTCGTTAATTTAATGAGTAAGAATATTTCTTGATTTAAAACAGATTTGCAGTACAATGATGAAGCTATTTGTCGGGGGTTGCCATCGATCTTTTCAACCACTAAGGAAAAATAATTTATAATTAAATAATTGAAATTGGAAAATTAAACCCTTGGAAAATTGAGCAATATATTTATTAATATTAGTTACACTAATATATAATATAAATCGAATGTATCTGCTGTACCACTTTATTCCCGATATCAATGGATATCAAATCGGTGAATACGGATACTGCCGAATATAGGACCAAAAATAAAAAAATTCTCTATTTTTTAAAAAGGCGTGCCAGTCATGCGGAAAATATATACCATTTACTTAGAAAGATGATTAAAAAGTAGATATTTCTTTATTAAAAAAATATTAGTTTTGAACAGGGAAGCAAGAGGGAAAAAATGATTTTTTTATAATGGTCTCAAAAAACTGACAATTAAAATTTTCATAGAAAAGTCATTCAACCTAAACCTTTAGATTTAAGAGGTTAAAAAAGCATCAGCCGCTACCATCAGTAGGTGGGCCGATGCTCGATATTAGAGCATTTCTAATAATAAATGTATGTATACTGTAAAAATGAAATCTAGTAGTTAAAATTTTTATTATTTGAGAAAATAAGGCTTCGAGCTTCGTGTTCACGCGAAAAGTCAATTGGCATTCCAAATCTTGCTTAGTCCCGAGATCCATTAATTGTTGAGAAAATTGAGAGCTTTTTAAATTAATTAATTTTTTAAAAAAAATAGTATTTATTATTTATAATATTTTTTTTTTCTACAAAAAAAACATACGGGAAAAGTATATGGATATTAAAAATCTACTTTGGGATTCAAATTAATAATAAAAAATTTTTTTTTTTAAAGGTATATATTTATCATAGGGCTTTGACAAATTTAGCGCTAAGGTTCATTGTCCTTATTTAGTGTATTAGTATTTAATTGACAGCTGTCATGTATTCAATCGGATAAGATTCAAACAAAATGTGGGTAAGGGGGGGGGGGGGTGTACAAGGCCAAAAAAACGCGGCTATAAATTGGATTTAAATTTTAAAAATGAGTTATCGAATTTTTCTCGAGCCCTGCAACATATTCGCAATTAAAGTTGAAAATATAATATTTAATAACTCATTAGCGATGGAAACGAAATGGTGTCTATTAGCTAGTATCATATTACTTTTTCTTTGCCTACATTCAGACAGGACCTAAGAACTCACAAGCCTCTTGGTCAATACATAAAACATTTTCGTAAGCATTTTAAATAAGGGACTAAGGTTTAAAGGGAGTGAAAAGGAGGTGGTCATCATAGAAGGTTTTATTGTTATTTAAATAATTATTTTAAAAAACTTTGAAATAGGGCAACTCATAACGAAATCGGACGTCGGAAGATTTAATTTAAAATCTAATTTGTGAGATAAAGATGTTTCCCCATTTACGCTCTATTATAATAAATAAATAAATTGAATATAATATAGTATTTATTAACAGTTCTTAATAAAAAAACATCTTAACTTTGAATAGAGCATTCTATTCAAAAAAGAAACTAGGACATTTTTTCTTATCGTTTTTAGTCTAAAAATCACGGAGAGCTATCTAGAATGTTAAAAAGAAATAAGATGCTTCCCTTATAAATTTTATCGATTCGACTTTCTATTCCATAAATTTTTATCGGGTTTTAATAAAACATTCGCCATGTCAGGAGAGGCGAGCCGATATTTTTCCACACGGAGATTCGATTAGCTTTTTTAAATCTCCTATAATATAAAATTATTAGGCGATGTTTAATTGAAAAGTGATATATAGATTCAATGGACTTTCCAAATCTATATTATAAAAAAATAAGATAATAATTTCTTCTCTATTTTAATAGAAAAAAAAATGATTTGAAACGAAAGCGAGCAAGTTTATTAGATAATTCATGCAAACCCCCTTGATATTAGTGCTAAACAAAGCTACTTTAACATCATACCCCTTGGACGATGATAAATAAATGGAAAATCCTGCCACACTGCAGGAGCCGAGAATAACCATTTATATGTATAACATCATGTTAAAAATAATATATATATAATTTGCCGACACTAATTTACTTGTGTTTATTAGTTTTATTATTATAATTTTCACCCATAAAAACTCCTTATTGATTATTATTTCAATGCCTGTTAGAAGATGAATATTTAAATGTTTCTCTTCATGCCCATAAATAACCAAGATACATACAGTGAGAGAAACAGTTTACATTAATCCGAGCCATCTTAGCGAGTTTTGATTCAAAATTTGGAGTTGGAATGTTTTAATTAGTTAGAATGAAACAACGAAATCGGAATTTATTCTTTTATTTTTTTAAATGTATTTCAGAAATTTTATAATGAATTTCCAATAACCTTTATTCATTTATGGTGACCATTTTTACGACATATAAAACTTTATATAAACTTTACCCAATCTTTCATCATATTCGGAAATAATTTATTCTGACAAAAATCATAAAATCCCCTACATTGGCCGTCATTCAATCATATAACATTTAACTAATATTAGACATCAACAGACATAACATTTTTTCAATATAATCTTTTGAATTTTTTTATTTAATAAATAAGTACCAATAAAGTTTCACCTAAAAATAGATTAAAGCATTCCAACCCAAAATTTTAAATCAATACTCTAAAGATCAGCTAAAGGGGGATGAAATTATCGCTCTATGTCTTTAGCTTTTTATGGACTTGGAGAGGAACATTTATGCACTCGTCTTCATTCTATCATATCGATTACAAATTTTATAAATTAAAAGGAAGAGCAAATTGTTTCGGAAAATACCACTGCATCTTTACGCATCATTAAAACTACCCGTAATATCTTTGCTTATTCGAGGTCGAGATTAGACTAATTCCACAAAATTTATAAAAAAGGGCATGATGAGACTCCTTCAACTAATATTAATAATGATGTAACCTTGGATATATATAACATATAAAGAGCAGTAAATTTTCTATATATAGACTGGAAAGTCCAATAAATTGAGGGATAACATTCTTTCCTTCTAAACACCTACTCAGTCTTTAACACTTTCTCTTTTCCATCTTTAACACTTTCATCTTTTTTTTATATTTATAAAGTTCTGAAAAAGGTTTAATCGAATCTCCATCATCTATTTATTTATAAAGGCTATATATTATGCCATTTTTAAAAAATATGATACATTTGTAAATCAACAAAAAAAACATGTGTTACTCACTATATACGTTATGCACCCTTTCAAGGCTAATTTTGGTGAGACGTTGCTAATAGTCTTCATATCGCCCATCGCGTGACTGTTAAAATCATGACTCGTTTCGGATTCAAATATTCGGTCCAGGTGGGAATATTTATCTAAGTTTTTCATATAAAATTTTAATATAACAAATATAATCTAACATTTCAAAATTTCCATATAACAAATATAACCAAGGAAAAGGAGTAAATATATATTTTTGCAGTCAAGTCCAGGGGCCCGAACCTTTATTTATAACGGTCCAGTATATAAAAATTTATAATGATTACGGTTTTGTTACTTAAGAAAAATTTATAAAGGTTCAGCTCGGTTCAACTAATTGTAAAGGTTCATTACGGTTATAAAAAAATTCAAAATTATTTATATTAAAGCAACACCGTCGTATATTTTAATTATAAATGTTATTTAATTAATTTTTTGTCATCTCTTAAGTTAATATTTTTATTTATAAAATAAATGAAATTAATTTATTCTTATTATAAGCATTTATAAATAATATATAAAATATATAGGAATCATAACTCATTTCTAAATAATATTTTATAATATAAGTGGATTTATTTGTTCGTTGTGACGATAACACAATTTTAACCCCGAAAAGGCTTTTTCCAACAGAATGTTGCGGGAAGCGAAAGTACTGTAAGAGCAAGTTTATATAAATCTAGATATTTCAAATATTTTTGACTCCCAATATATAAAAAGGGATGATTTTTTATCGGTCTATTCAACACTTTCAAATGAATCGATAATATTTCCAATGTTATGTTCTTTTCCTATATTTGAAGAAGCGTATTTAGATTCTGACACACGGGCTAAAAGTTTTTCTAATTCGTCATCTGAATTATATTCTTTGGGTTTAAATGAAAAATAAAAGATATGGCTTTTGAATTGCCACCTAGTTTTATTTAAATGATCTATAGCTGTAGATTTTTCCTCATCTTTCAGCAATATCTGATATCGTGGGCCCATGCATAATGTTGCATAAAATGCATCATTTTTAGTATTAGCTTCTCTTGCCTTGAAGAATGTTGAAAGATGGCGAGAAAAAGGTGTTCGTACCTTGAGGTATTGATAAATTTCAACATATCTTAATCGTAAATACTTAGTAAGCCTGGCAATATATTATTATTATTTCACCGTGATTATCGTAAAAACTTAGTAAGCCTGTGATAATTTAATAAATAAAAATACTATGCGAATATAGTAAAATATGTAATGCTACAAGGAAAAGAATTTAAACGAAAAAAAATGTAGAATTATTTATTTATTTTGGCTGAAACCGGTTTGACCATAAAGGACTCCTTCAAATATCGGTTCAGTTACGGTTGAAATATTTATAAAGGTTTAGCGGTTTATTCAGGTTCATTCCGCGTCCCTGGTCAGATTGAGCTTCGGTCTAAATGTACTACATCTATAAAATAAATAATTTGTCAAAAGTTAATTATTTATAACCTTTGATATCAGATATCTTAAATCCACCATCCCTCACGGCGACTGCGAAAGGTAGTTCGAAGTTCATTTCAAAGGGAGTTGTTTGAGAAGGGGGAAGTGTCGCGGATCCGCTAAGTGTAGAATATGTAGAATCATCGCGACGCACCGAAATTTCGAGGTTTTTGAGTAAGGAACGAGCGGGAGAATGATTAGAAGCGAGAAAACGAACGAGCAATCGGGGAGGTAAAGAAGATAACGAAATCGATTTCAATTCTGGGAAGGTTGAGTAAGTCTATTATTAGATTTATAAAAGGTAATAATTCACCTATTCAAAAAAAAATAGTTGGATAAGTGTATTTAATTAGCCGAGTTCGTTGAGTATTACAGTCTGACTCGGCTAATTAACAACATCACTAGTAAGTAAAACAGTAAAATACACTGATTAATTTATAGTTATTTGGAGATATGCAAGAATTGATTGTGAAGAAAAAGAACATTTTATTATAATATCAAGAGAATATTAGGGTCAAAAAAGACTGCTGTGATCTATCATGAAATTGATTGTCAACATCGTTTAATAGAAGGATTAGGGATCATCGAGTTAGACATTTAGATATTGATATTTTCTTTCCCCAACTAGAGTTGATGAATTATGGCTCGATGCCTTTCCTGACACTCTAGCCTCTATTAAATATATTTAAGCTACCATTAACAGTGCGTAGACGTTGGTAATCTCTAGCCACATAAACTGTGAATGAGGGGTAAAGCAGAAAGGTAGGATTTGGAATTAATTCATTGTATTTTTTAAAAAAATCTGTAACAATAAATGGGGGATTGGTTTGCTGATAAGTGAAGATGAATCAGGATATAAATATTTTTTTAATTACCAATTTTAGATTTTCGTCTTTGATCAAAGATTTGTACCGTGGAATTTCTTTACCAATTTCGAGCTAAATTAAAATTTTAAATTATTAATTATGTATACGATAAATTAATGCGAGAGAAATTTTATCATAATAATAAATAATGTATTTGGTTTATAAAAAGTATATATTTTTTTAAAATCATTATTAAAAATATTGATAATAAATCATTCGCAAGCTGTAACTTTAGATTTTTGTATGTCATTATTATGGTCCCCGTCTAAAATATCGATCATATCATTATTAGCCGAGATCTGATCTTTAAAGTTAGATTTGGATGATTTTTTCTTATGCTTTTTTAAAAAATAAATCATTTAGAGAGAAAAGCATTATAATAATTATATAGAAAAGAAGGATATAAAAGATAATTAAAATAATGTCATATTATTCACCCATGGCTCACTTCTAAAGCCTCGAAGGTTTAATTTCTAGTTATCAAGTTATCAATTCATTTTATAAAGTAAAAACAATGTTTAATTCACCTTTTTATGATGGTTTAATGAAGGAATCATTTCCGTATCGTTGGAAACATTAAGCATGTTCTGATCATCTATATTAGAAGTGTAACGCGTTGGAGATAACCAGAAATCTAAATCTTCCAACCGCTTCTCCTTATTTATTTTTTAATAAAGAAAGTGTTACAACTAATTATCATATATATTAATCTGTTTGTAGTGAGTAAAAGAAGGCATAAGAACTTATATTTAAACGTGCTTGATGTAATTCTAATTAAAGATTTTTAAGCAATATTCTCAACTTTCTTCCAATTATATTTAAAAAAAACACTATAATCCTGGGTGTAGTGTTGTTAACAAGCCCGATTCGGGTCGATTTATGAAGGCCCGATAAAGCCAAAATAATATTAAGTAAGTTCGGAGATTTTCCTCATAAATGGCAACAGGGTTTGGATCTCTATTTGCCAAATCTAAAGGCTAACACAAGATTATTTTGGCTAAAATCTTAATCGGACACTTTATAAAAATAGACCCAAATCGGGCTTTTTAACAACACTACCTGGGTGGGTGGGGGGAGGGGGGAACTTTTGTAAATTTAATTTGCTCTAAATAAACCGCATGCTTTTACTATTTTGTTCAAGTTAATCGCATTCATAAGTTACATTTTAAAATTTTAATATACTTCTTTTAAGGGTACGGTTTTAGTATTATCAACACTGCCATCAAAATCTACCTCCCCGTCGGCATGGTCGTATATTAATAAGAGCTCGTTTGTCTTGGATGGACTATTACCGTCAATTTTCTTTTCCTTCATGACGTCTTTGCTACTTTTCCCCTTCTTTTCCTTGTGTCGTTTTTTGGGAGAGGATTTTTTGGTCGAATCGTTTTTAAGCTGCTGATGTTCAAATTTTTCTGCCGCCTGAGTATAATGATTGATTTATTGTTTTTTTTTTCATAAAACTTTATAATGAAGCATGGTCAACCCTTTAAAACATTCACACATATATTTTAAAGGAGAAACTGTGGGAAATAATTTTTCTAGAACCAAGGAGGATACAAGTGGTGTAAATGTTGATAATGTGTTTACGAAAAAATTAAATATTATGAATAGTGATGAAAATTTGGAGGATCTTCTATTATTAGCAGGAGTAATTTTTTGAGAGTAGTCAACTAGGTATGAACAAATAATATGAAGCGGGTTCTTATTTTTATGAAGGGGGGGGGGGGGCGGGGGTATTAATTTTTTGGATTACATTGATAATTATTTTTAATCAGGCATTTTTTTGTAACAAACAACTTTTGATCTTTTATTTGTGTTCTTGATAATTTACCAATTTTATCAGGTTTATTCTTCACGAAAATATCTTATAAATTATTCGCTGGACCAATTTTTGCAATCCAATCTATAAATCAACATACCTAATTACTTTATTTACCATTATGGATAACTCAATTTTTATTAATAGCCCTATTTATGATCCATCAAATGGTTCAACCATCATTTTATCTTCAATGATATATTCGTTTGGCTAATACTTACAATATTCTTCATATCTCAATTATAATCGCTGCACCCGTATCCAGTAAAGTAGAAATTTCCCTATTTCTTGATGAAAAAATATGTAGTAGATGTAATGTGAGCAATTGGAAAATGTATGATTAAAAATAATTGCAAGATAATTGTAAACGACTAAACACGCCCCCCCCCTGACGCGCATATAAAAAGAAATCGCTTCACATTATTTGTTCATACCAAATTAACTCCTTTCTAACAATTGCTTCTAATAGAAGATCCACCAAAACTTTATCACTATTCATACTATTTAATATCCAACATAAAAATTGGTATTCGACAATTTTTTTCCACGCTCAACATAATAACTTGGAAAAATTCATCTATTGCAATCATTTTCAATTTCACCGTAATCCATCAATCTTATTTCAATATCACATTTTCAAAAGATGGTAAGAGTCTGATTGATTAGATTTTTATGTTGTCGCTAGTAAATTATAAAATATCAAAGCTACAGCCCAGAGACATCAAGTTTCATATTTTAAAATACGATAAAAATAAGTTGATTATTTTTTTATATATTTCGTCTATCAATTTTCTTATTTATTATAAAATTCTATACTTTTCGTTCTATTAACTTAAAGCAATTTTAGAAACACAAGATGATGATAACATAGAACATTTTATATATAATACGTATCCAAAACTTTGAACAAAACCAAGCAAAATTATTTTAGAGTGGAACGAGAAGATTCTCAGTTAATTTTCTTTTTAATAAATATTTAAAGAAAAACAGGTGAAACATATATTCAAAAATAATTTTTGGACACAAATAATAAAGGAGTATACTTTATAAATAAATTTATCAAATTTTGACCAATTCTTATTATCATCCTCAATTTTAAAATAAATTTGAAGAAAAAAAATCTTCTTCATCATTAGAAGGAATAATGATTTAAAATCAAGCTGTGAACCCAAATTAGGGTTCAAATTTCAAACTCTATTTAATAGAAATTTTGATAAAGGGAACATAATTGGAGCCGATTTTCTGAAATGGGTCTGAACCACCCCGGATCTATATTACCCTGGGTTCGATGGGTTGCCTATATCGATCTCCTGTTTGGTATGTGATCTCAAAATGTCTAATTCAACAATTTTTAATTTCTGAACTCTAATTTGAGCTCACAGACCTGTTTTAAATAATACATTCTTACAAAATGATTCGTTTACTTATTATTGCTATCTGCAGTATTTGTCGAGGGATCCGAAGATCCTCGAAAAATACTGCAATTTTTTTTTACAAATAAAGCAAAACATTTTTTAAAAAAAGAAACATTAATATTAAATATATTTAAATGGCAAATATAACTAGATAGTAATTCTCTTCCAAAGATTTTAGATCATTAGGAAACACCAAAAAAAGCGAGCGCATTCATAGATTTAGTCGGAGGACCTTTTAAAAATCATATGTGACTAATATTAAAAGATTCCTTTTCTAAAAGGTTAAAAATTAAACCCATAAATTTGACCACTTAAGAAAATATAACAATATTCATATTAATGTAAAAAATGGATAACATAATCAGGTAATCACTTGTATGGCAAATATGTATTAATGAAGCTATTTCTAAGCCTAATTCCATTTCCAGCATAAGGAGATTTTTTCCAAATTCAAAAAAGGAGCTCAATAAATACCGGAAATATATCCCGAAGTGTGTAGAAGGGCTATCCACAAAAAAATTAAGATATAACTAAAGGAAAAACAATACATGTATACTGCCTGATTTCGAATTTGCCTATAACTATTTGCCAAAGAAGTATGCTAAATATCTAATTGAGCAAAATGGGAAGCATAAATCTAGAAAAGCCGATTCTTTAGCATTCCTAAAATAATAAAAACATTGATTCAATTGGCTAGTTTGGGCAGAGAATCAATATAACGTAATATATTATAAACGATTTTTATTAATAACCCTCATTTGATAAAATATAAAGGTTTATAAAAAAATATCACTAAAATACCTGATTTAAAATCTTTTCGGAAACGCTGCTATTCTTAGCTTCTTTATGGCTATTTTTATTAATAAAAAAAATAAAATAACAGTTATGCTTTTATTTAGTTTTGTTAAACGGATCAATTTAACCATTTTACAAATAAAACAATATAGAAACGTTAAAATTACGCTTTCTTCTTGCGATTTATGTATTTATTCTCGCGGTCTTCGGATGAGTGAGGTGATGATAGGGCATTCTGTGGAATAAAATTAATTATTTATATGGCAGTTAAGTCGCATTCATATAGTAAGACCCGATTTAACGACTGTAAAATCATTCAGAACTGTTGAAAGCGTCCAATGTACGGCGTTAAAAATCACTTTTAAAAAGTAAGGCTTTTATAGGCTACTGCTATTTATTTTAAAGTGGCGCGTTAATCACGCTACATTTTATTTTTATTTTACGATAATTCCATTTTAATAATTGTTTCTAAATTATCCATCCTCCCTAAAGTCTAGAGCTTGTGTTTTGTTAATCACGAGTACTCTAAGCTTTACTTCTGTAAAATATCATTTTTAGAATTCATAACATCTCAAACATGGGGGTATAGAACAGGATGGAAAATTTAATTTACTGCATAAATTATAAGCATAATTTTTTTTAATGGCTCATTTATAAGTATTCATTTATCTAGTTTTGTTAAACGACTCGATATGAGCCGATTTTCAAAAAGGATCAACTCAATATTTTCTTCAGAATGCATGCCTGAAGATTTTGCTCAGATATTAGGACAAAAGCCATGTACAATTATTAGCGAAATTCTCGAGGCGTAGGCAATATTTTTCTGGATAAAATATTGATATTCAACTAAGTGCAAGATTTTTTTTAAAAAAAACTATTTTTGTGATTTTGGGAAATTTGATTAATCTTGCTTGCAATTCTAAAAAAAATTGGAAGGTTATTTATATTAAAGAGCTTACGAAACCCTGTGGTTTAGAGTAATACTTTACAGGTTTGATAATTATACTTTTTAACGAGGTATGCGATTTAAAAATTTGTATAAATTCAATTTTTTAAAACCTCAGGTAATTCGTAATCCAAAATTTCAACTTTGTGAGTGTCAGTGCCGTTATAATCCGCTTTTTGGATTTTCTGTCCATCAAAATTACCGTGAGATTTATTCGTGATCGATAACTTTCGGAGATTAAGGATAGCTTAAATTATTTGATATTAAAATAGTGTCAATAATAAATGTGGATGAAGGGATATTTGTGTCAGGAAACCCGGAAATGTGTCATAAATGGTCATGTTTGAAGACTGGTCACCACCCTCTAATTTTTTACTATTGAACCAATTTCCCTCAAAATTGGTCAAAATGTGTATATTTATGATATGTTCCTTACCTAAGTTCATTTATTGAAAAGAGAAATCTATTAAAAAAATATTCTAAATAAAATCTTTTTAGTACCTCTTTATAGAAAAATCACGTTACATTTTTGTTTGGCGAAAAAATTAAATTAGATTACTGATATTTATATAAATATTATCCTTCGGCATTTAGCATTATTCAAACAAAAAATTAGAATTTATAAGTTTTATTTAATGGAAATATTAAGATGCTGAATAATACACAGAATTGTCTGGCCAAGAATTGACTTCCACAATTCATACATTACTGAAATGAAAAGCTCGCGCAAAACAATATTTGGTGCAAAATCAAGTGATGATATAATCATTAATAGAAGATCAACATTATCAATAGCTACTAAATTTAATATTCCTAGAACAACCTTAAGAAGAACAATAAATAAATACAAAGAGACTTTGTAATATCCTCATATCAAATAGATTAATATTCACCAAAGCTCATGAGAACATTTTAAAAGATTATATAATTCAAGCATTTAAGATCCTGGTAAAATTATTGCAGAGAAGGGCATGAAACAGGAAGGATTTTTAACCTGTGAAAGAGAATCCTTAGTGATCATTACCATAGCTATAAATGCAATTGGAAATAGCATTCCTTTAACAATGTGAGGATTGAAGCCTCGAGCTTTAGCCAAACTTGTTGCTTCAGGAGTTCTCGGGGATAATGTTGGATGTCTATCTTTGAACCAATCCATGCCAGCCATTCCATCACGGATCCAACATTCAGGAAACTTTTAATATATAATTAAATTCTATGCCAAAACCCATGAGTGATTTGCTAGCTTGAATTATATAATCTTTTAAAATGTCCTCCTGAGCTTTGTTGAATATTAACTTATTTGATTTATTCATTGATCTTCTTAAGGTTGTTCTAGGAATATTAAATTTAGTAGCTATTGATAATGATGATCTTTTATTAATGATTATATCATCAATTGCCAGTTTAATTTGTTCATCACTTGATTTTGCACTAAATATTGTTTTGCGCGAGCTTTTCATTTTGTATAATAAACACAGGTAGTTGATTACGAAATACGATAGTATTACCCTCCAAATCTGACTCCATTTTTATTATTTCACCACGTGATACAAACAATAGAGTAACATTAGGGTTCTCTCGTTTCTATCAACCAAGAAGAAATATAAATAAGAGAATCCTTGAGAGAAAAAATGCAACATTAATAGGGTCGAGTAACCAGTATGCCCCTGATGTATAGTAGTTTATATCATTATTTAATTAAAACAAAGTAAATTTACCATATAATTCTCTATATCCATATCATTTAATGGCAAATAGGAAAGCCCACGGAAATAAAATACCAAAAAAACTGTCGCAGAAAAAATTAGAATATAAAACTCAAAAAAATTCCCGAGGATAAAAAAAAAGATGAGATAAAATTGCAGAAAAGAAATCTGCAGGAATAAAAGTCTTCAGAAAATAAACCTGCATATATTTAATAAACACTAAATATTAATAGGTTTGATAATATTAGAGCAGTGTTGAACCCAGTTTAGGACATTTTACAAATATAAGGTAATTTAATATGGGATTTTAAACATATATACATAAATTATCAGAAGATTAATTATTTATGAAACATTTAATCAGAATATAATGCCTATCCTATATGTTGGGATGTATAGCGAATAGATTATGAAATTTTGACAATTTAAATAATTTTTATTAAATAAATCTTTTATAAACCCATTTTTTATACTAAAATAAATTCATGAAAATATAAATATTGAAACCATTTTATTATAAGATTTCACGGTATATATAGACCGAAAATAAATTGAGAACAAAAAAATCCATTCTTTAAAATGTAAAAAAAAATTTTTTAAACCTACTTGAATGGTTTAACTGCGTCAAAAACTCAGACAAAATCTAGTTAACTCCCTATCGCCTTAAAATTTTATTGATATGGTCTCATTTGACTTCCATTATGGTAAGGATTACTAAGCGCCCCATCCCATAAGATGATCCGCCATTTCAGGCTTATAAAGAGGGAAAGAATAATGAGTGAGGGAGGCGCTTTATCAAAATATTTAATTAATTTTATTTCTAAACTGAAGGTTATGTATCAATGATACCTTTTGATATATGATATTAACTAATCCATTTTTAAAAAAACAAACAATATCAATTCTTAGTTTTCATTGAACAAGTAAATTCTTCAATATTATTGGCTCATGATAGTTTTGATAAATGGAAAATAATTTCAGGAAAAGTATGTTTTATATAAATTATTATGAGTATATAAAACCTTTTGTCTTAAAGAAAAAGTATATTTTTGGGAATTTATAATGGAGATGGAGACATAGCAGGATTTATAATCATTATTTTATAGTTAATTTTATGATTGGGAAAAAATAAATATATTTTCATAGTATCTATTTAGTATAAGTACTTAAAATTTTCACTGAGATTTAAATAATTTTTTTATATTTTTATAAAAAAATGTATTCTGTAAAGTGGTTTTAATAACATTCCCAATTGGTGCTTCCTCTAAAGATGCATTTATAGAATTGTCATAATACTATAACCATTATCCAAGTCATTTTAAGCTAGTATTTTGTCAAACATCTTACCTTCATATCATATATATGAAATAAATTCCTTGTACTTATAATTACTTATGTATTGTGCTGTAAAGTAACGTAAAGTTTTTGAGGAAAAGGAACGTCATTCATTATTTGTTTCAAAAGGTAATAAGTAACGCGATTTTTTTAACGGTAATGCTAAAAGTTACTTTAAATTTTTTTTAAAAAATATGGGAAAATAATATTTTATTTTAATATATATATATTATTTAACATTTTTAAAATAATTTAAGCCGAATTATTAATTCATATCAACCATCAAAGTTTTTCAAATTTATTTTATTTATTACATTTTTGTTGTTAAATTTTATAGTCAAGATTGCTAATCTAATTAATATTGAATCAATCAAGTTATGTTAATTTATATTATTTAATATCATTTACTTATTTCTTCAGATGAAATCTCTGCCCTAGCCCAAGTATGATATATTTTTTACACCAATAAAAAAAATCTAAGGGCATTTAGTCTACACTTAGCAGAAATTCAAATATTTCAAGCCCGATGTCCAGCTGATCAAATCTAAAAAAGAACATATGATGGTAAAAATATGAATTCAGATTAAATTCTGATAAAGATAAAAAAAATTGATGAGGAACTGAATGAAGATTCTTGTGAAGACAATCGAAAAAGTTTTTGGGAAATTAAATAAAATTTTATTAAATATAATATATTCCCATCCTCTGGCTTAGCACAGCGAAAGCTGTGTTGAACACTAAACCGCTCTTGTTTATCTGATCAAAATGAAAATCAATTGTTAAAAATAAAGAAAAAGTTATTACAAAATATTATTTTTGTATAATATTATTTTTTATTATCAATAGGGAAAAAAATTTATATATAATATTTAGAATTCTTTAAGTAACGAGTAATGCGTCACTTTCTACTTATTATCAACGATATCTAAAGATCGTTGGATCAACGTAGACTAAATATTTTATATAATATAAAAATCTTGGGATTTTAACGAAAGTGGATTATTTGGTTATTCCTGAGCCATAATTATGATTAAAGGTAAGATAATTAAATATAAAAAATTGCTCAAAAAAACAGAAGCAAATGTATCAGTGATTCAAACAAAAAAGTAAATTTATTATTTCCTTCTAAATAGAAATATTATCTCAATTATATTCCTGACAAAATTCTTAATGAAAAGGCGGCAATCACGACAAATCGTAACACATTTCCGTTACTAATAAAATAAGTAATAAATTGGAGCCTTGCATTTAAATTTTTGTCCAACCCTCGACTTTTAGAAGAATTCTGGTCAAATCTTACCTATAATCATTCCTATGTAATTAAGGGAAAAGCTTGCTAAATGATTAAAATAAATATTTTATCTTACGGTCTTCATTTTCATCTCCTATGTAATCAAGCCCATTTAACACATCGTAAGCATCGTGTATATCGGTATGATTATCCACTATCTTTAGCTAAAGGGTGTAAAAAAATTTTTTAAAATATTTTTATAATATTGATTGCTCTATCATTTATGGGTTGTTTGTTCATATATATTTCATCATATTAAAAAATGCATATAGTATCCCAGTGATAATTTTTCCCGCTTATGTTCTGGTCTCGATTCCTAAAATTTTGAAAATTGAGTCTATTCTTAAATTTGGCGCTTTTGGCGTGTTAAATTTTTGACTCATTAAAAAAGTCATAAATAGATTATAACTAGAGTTGTTAAACGTCTCTATTTAGCCGATTTTAGATTAAGATTTTAGTCAAAATAATATTACGCGAGCCTCAATATTTCGTAAATGGGTATCCAAACCTTTCTGCCATCTATGAGCAAAATCTCCAGGCTTGGGCAATACTTTTTGGCTTTTTTAAAAATCGAGCCGTTTAACAACACTAGTTATAATAACAGTACATTCATTTAATATATCAATTAACATTTATTTTGCTTTATTAATTAGTCAATAAAAAAATACATATACTTTATCATTAGAAATCGGTTTGCTTTTTAAATAGTGAGGATTGTTGGCTTGTTCCTCCAGTCTTGCTTTTCTTACCTTAAAATAAATATACATTTTTCCATATCTAAGAATAAAAAGCCAAACCAGCCTTAAAATAATTTTTAAACATTATGCAGGCAAATTGGTTAAAAAATTTGGTACAAAAGAAAAAAAATTAATAAAAAATTCAAAAAAAAATAAAACTTGATATTAATGCTCCAGAAATTTTTATCAAATCAGCTGCAAATTCCTTACCAACTAAACAAAAATATCCAGACTGGATTTCACCAGAATCAAAAAATCTTATCGCTAATCTCATTGGAAATGGGCATTATACGAAAAACAAAACAAATTATATATTTTACAATATAAGTCATAAATTAAGATCTGATAAAAGAATTTTTTTTGAAAAAAGAGCTAGTGAAATACAGAATTTATTTAATGTTAATAATTCTCATAAAGCCTTCAATCTTCTAAAACCTTTTACAACATTTAAAAAAGAACTCATCCCAAAAATCATTTACAATGATCAAATCATTACAAATACACATGATCAAATGAACCTATTGACATCTTACTATATGAACATGTTTAGCATAAACGAACCCTCTCTCTTACTAAATGATACTACAAATATTCAATCAATACCTTCTACTTCTAATATTCTCCCTTTATACAACCTATTACCTTCCACCTCTCAACTTATATCACCAAATATCATTACCTTAAATACATTACCTTCTACCTCATATCTCCCTTCTTCTTACCCTCATTTATCTCCAATCCTTCAACTTACACATCTCCCTAACCTAGACACAAATAGATTGCTGCCTCCAACTAAAAGGGAAATAATTAATATTACAAATAAACTAAAAAATCATAAAGCATGTGGTCATGACGGTATCTATCGTGAATTTCTAAAAATAGATGCTCCACTTTCTGTTGAAATTCTTCTCCCAATTATGACGAAAGTTTGGTATGAAGGTACTTTTCTGTCAGATTGGCTCTCAGCTATTTTATTCAATTTCTCTAAAAAAAACCAAAATTTCTTAAAGACTGGAGAAGTATATCACTAAACTCTGTGATATACAAAGTTTTTACCCATATCATTTTATAGATTAAAACCTATTATCGAACCATATTACCTAGACTCAATAGTTTTTTTTAGAAAAGGTCATAATGCCCTTTAAGCTATTATAGCCCTAAAAATTCGAATCGAAAGAGCCAAAATTAAGAAAAATCAATTTTTTATTGCTACCTTAGACTTTAAAAGAGCATTTGACTCTATAATTCATTCGAAATTATGGGCTGCTTTAGAGATAATAAGAATTCCTTCTCATTTATTAAAATTTTTAAAAAATTTATACCAAAATTATTTTTAATTATTCACACCAATCTCAAATCTCAAAAAATACCAGTCAATATAGGACCAAAACAAGGTTGTGTTTTATCCCCATCACTCTTTAACTTCATTATAAACTTTATTATTAAAAATGTTAAAACCTCTTATACTGAAATATTATAAATTGAAGATATAAACATTTTAGCCTTTGCAGATGATATATGTTTAACTGCAACTTCTATGCCCAAACAACATTTGGTTAACATTTTTATCATCGAAGCAAGATCTTTTGGCTTACATCCAAGTGTCAAAAAAACTAAAGTACTAACATCTATTTCTACATCCACCCATGATAAATTAATAATTTCGATATTAATGAAGTACTACATGAGATATTTAGGAGTTATCCTCGATAATAAAGGCCAAACAAGATTAGATATAATAGACAAAATAAACAAAGCTAAATTCAAATATCGCTCTCTTATGAAAATTTGGTCCTTGAATCAATTATTCATTCCTTTAAAAATCCGATTATTTAAAATTCTAATACTTTCCTCACTTTTCTATGGAATAGAAACATGGTCTATGCCTTTCTTATAATATGAAGATACAATCTTTTATCAACAAATGCTTAAGATATACAACCAAAACCTTTCATCCATTTAACACTTCTAACAGAATCCTCTCGGCTAGATGTGGTCTTCCAGTGTACAAACTAATAGAATATAGAAAAATTGAATTAATGGGTCATATCTTCAGACAAGCTCCAAATAATAATCTATAAAGCACTAGACAAAGTTTTCCCTGAAAAATTTTTCATAAAACCATTCCTATCCTATAAAAATAGCTGGTTTAGTAAAATTACTAAATCCCTAATAGATATGGATATCTCCTGAGATTTTATTAAATGGGCTGTATTAACAGATGTCTGTTCAAGAAAATTATGAAGCTAATCTATGACCCCCTAACGAATGACTGTTGATGGTAAAGGTAATTGATTATTTAAATTATATTTTATATTATCTTATATTTCTTTAATTTATAAATCTTAATATAAATTATTGCTTGACCCTTAAATCTAATTATTATCATTAAACAATTAAAAACATCTAATACTTATATAATAAATTTTAAAAAAAAACAATTATATGAATTTAATATTTACAAATAAAATTGATTAAATAAAATAATTAAGTTTTATTTGGAAAAGAAGGACCTTTTTTTATTCTTATATTCTTTTCTTCCTTTGCTATATTCATTACTAACATATATAAATGGCTTGGGTGCAGTTCCACCCTCATATACTTCATACATGGGTTACAAGGTTTGTTGGTATCCTTGAGTAAAAAAATCGGCATAATTATATGGAGGATGGGCCTTCATATAATTCACGCACACTCACCTTTAGGCAGGTCTATGACCAACGTGCTAATAAAGATTATGATATCAAAAAAGATGCCAGCCTTCTTATTTTGAACTCCTTTAGATTGAGCCCCCCCCCCTCATTTTGAAACCCTATTTATAATGCACAATCAAAATATTCGCCATTGAGTACCTAATATTATAAAAGGTTTCATTTTAATTTACCGTAACCCTTAAATACTATTTATAATCCCACTTTTAACTTCTAAAATATTGTTTCTTGATTTATTCATAAAGGGCAAACATAGACCATATACGCCGATACCTTTATTGACGGCGGGAATTAATTATTATTTAATTGTGCTAAAAGTTGGTAAAATATAGGAAAAGAAAGTTCTCAAGAGGCGTGAGTCGGTAGCGTATAAGGTTTAGGCATTCATAATTTAAATTTGAAAAAAATATATACAGTATATTTATCAAATAAAAAACTTTGGCCATTTCTTTGTGATTAGCTTCCTTGTCATCCATTTTCGAATGCTTTTCATTGGGCAATTTTTTCCTCTTCCTTTGTAGTAATCCACAAGTGAGTTTTAAAAATAAATAAGATTAAAATTAATTTAAGAATTTAATAAAATTTATTTTTTGGGAAAAAAATGAAAATAAAATCTCATTTGGAGTAAAACACAAGAATTGCATAATTAATCATCGACTAGATTATAAGGTTATATTATTATAAACTAGTCAATCGTAGGAGTAAATTAAGATAACCCCTATGCCATCTGGCTAGAATGATTAAGAACATTAAATTCTTTATTGGTAGAGATAAGGGATGACCCCAACTCATTCTCTCTATAATAATAAAAAAGAACGAAATAATATACTTTGATTCAAGAAAATTAGGTAAATAATAAAGAAAACTTACAATAATTCAAAGTATTACCACTAGATAAATGCGGATTATATCAAATTAATTTTTTTAAACTTGATTTTAGTCTTGGGCATATCGGTAGAAAGAGCGCCATCTGCTACGCTAATATCATTGACGTTGCTTTCGTCGTTAGAACTCTCGGAACGGGAAGAAGTCGAAAAATTGGAGAAAGAATAGGCCTTATCATCGCTGACCTTGGGCATTATCCCGACGGCAAATATATCGAGATTCTTATAAGCATTCCAATTGCCGTCGCCAGACTTTTTCGATAAGATGGTTTGAAAGTCGGGATTAATAGGGGCCTCCAAGTCCAGTCTTAACAAATTAAGGTTATTTATTATAGATGGCATGGTGTGGAAATAGAAATCGATTTAACGCGATTTAAATAAAATGATTTTTCTATTTCAACAAAATAAAAATTTCCTAAATTACCCTTCTGGAATAGGAACTTTCTTTTGAGCCTTGAGAGCCACCGGGTTCATATCACCTTTAAATAAATTTGAAATTAAGTCACCGTCCGATAATCTAACGTTTTTATCTTCCACACATCGTTGGATGTATTGTAATATGCGCATAAAGGAAAGAGCCTTAAAAAAAGAGTAATAATGTTTTTATTTAAGATATCAATTTAAACTCAACCAGGGGTAAGGTTAATCGTTTCCTTTGGGGTTCCATCTAAGTCGCTTACATTATTTATTTATTTTTAAACTCAAAAAAATTAGTTTTGGCATGGCGTTAAACCCTTATAAAACGGGGAGGATTTATTTAAGTTACTCTCTCTTGGACTTCTACGCTATTGCTTTGGGAAAAATGTTCTAATTTTTTCGCGGCGTCTCGGCCAAAGCTCGACAAAACCGACCACCTTGGTTCGTCATTATCTTTACCGTTGAGGTCGGTCATAAAATCGTTATTGGATGATTCCAGATTTTGGTACTCCCCTTTTTGGAGGGGGTTAATATTTTCCAGCGTGGATTTAAAAATCCTACCATAAACTTTGATAGCGTTTAGCAAAAAAACAGCTTGGACGGGATGAGTGAGCAAAAGAACCCTCGGGTCTATCATGTTTTTGAGGGCTAATTCAGGGTTTTCGATATATCTATAATACATATAATATTAATTTTTTTTTAAAAAATGTATAATTTATTGAATAATTTTTTTAATAAATCTTTTGATTCGGGTAAATGATGCAAGTCATTTAAATAATATTGTTTTTTTTTAAATACACTGTAACTAAAGCATTGTAAAATGGGGGAGGGGGGGGGGGGGTCTGAGGAGCATTAATTATAAACGTTCATTGTTAATTTTAATAATAGTTACAGTTATTTATATCAAAAGGTAAGGACGAATTTATAGTTAACGCGTTTGTTCAAGTGGTGCGGTATTTAACGCCGCGTTATTTATAAAATCAAGCTAATAATTTATAAATATAGAGTGAAATGATGAAAACGCTAAGATAAAATTTAAAAAATATGTGTTGCGAGGTATATTTCAAAAATTATTAATGCTGTGAAGAATCACAAAACACGTTTACTATAGACTCGTCGTAACGTAATATAATATTATGGGACCCGAAATGGAAACTCTAATTGGAGATGGTTATATATGGGAACATTAAAAGCGGAAAACGGAAGAAAAATTGCATTAAATAAAAGTTTCATGGATCAAAACAATTTTAAAATGATATATTTAAATGAAATTTTACTGAGAATATTCTCCGCAAATGTAAGCCACGACATATAATAATTCGGACATTCTTTTATGCGTTCCTTTGTTAGAAAAGAGATGAGAATTGTCCAATAACTTTTCCTTTTGTTAATTTTAAACAAATAAACAAAAACATTACAAAAAATTTCAATAATTAATGAAATTTGAATAATATCGTCTGCTTTTTTTAAGTAAATTTATTTATTTTTGTCATTTCCATCTTTTTTACTAAGCACTGCTATAATTCTTCGCTGATAAAATATTAGCATTCTCTTTTCAAAACGCAATAGAAACTTTGTTAAAAACTTTTTTTAAGTTTTTACCATTTGATTGACAGAAAATTTTCTAAGAGATGGCACTCTAATAGTGACGTCAAGCAATTGTGAGGCGATTAGATCGATGTTTTTGGGAGTATCCAATTTACTAAACTCTATTAAAACGTTGAGGTACCTTTTATTAGTAATTATTGATTTTTTTAAAAAAAATAAATCAATCTTCCATGAATCGAAGTTATGATCAGGTTTAAACAGTGATGTAAAGTAAATTAATGTCATTAATTGGAATGAGGGGGGGGCAATTTTGAGTATATTAACAAATTTGCTCAAAAGTATTCCCTTATCTTTTTTTTATTTACTTTCTTTCCTTGATATTTAAAAAAAATAAAGTAGAAATATTAAGACGGAATGCAGTTAACTTTTTAGTGTAACAAAATACAAAAAAAAATTTTTTTAATATTTTAAAAACCATTCAAAATCGGTGATGTATTGATAATTGTTCTGATTACAAACGTTGATTATATTTTTCAGGAGATCATCCTTGTAAGATTGCGGTCCTTCATTAGTACACAGGTGAGTAAGTAATGTTTTGCTTATGTCCACCAAATTTTTCTTATTTACCTATCAAATTATGTTTTTTAAATAAAAAAATTATTATCATGTAAAAATATCAAATTTATGTTGACAAAAATGTATACAAATAAATTAAGTGTAATATAAGAGAATGTAAACCATTTCGAGTGAATAATGTTCGAAAAACCAGATTAAAAAACATAAAAGCTTAAAAACTTTAAAAAGCGGTAAAGATTTAATTATGCGCACAAATTGAGCGCTGCAAACGCGAATAATGCATTTCAAAATGGTGCAAATTAATCAAATTACCGCCTGGAGACCATTTAAAAAACCGCCATTTCAATAATTTTTTTATTCATTCATTTTTCACTTTGTTCTACGATCAGTTCTGAACTCAATTTTTTTGCAAGAAAGCCGACAAAATCTTGTCAATCAGAATAAGGGGGTGGAAACTAAATATTCTTTCATAGTTGTTTAATTATTTATAAATTTAATTTAATATTATATAAAATGTAACAAATTAACTTACCTTTTAAAATAGAATATTTAGAAATTCATGAAATAAAAAGGCAGATGATAATATAATTTATAAAAAATCATCTCTTTTATTTTGAATCGACAATATTTTAAAATAAAAAGGCAATCTCAATTTAAACAAAGAAGGCCTTGCGTATTTTTAACGGCAAAACGCAAACGGAGCACTAAAAGAGAGTTATAACTATTTAATACTCAGGTTTCATTTTGAAATTATTGCAAAAATAATAATAATAAATTTTTTTAACCATGCCGTATAATAAATGCAGCGCCCTTATTCGAATAGAATCGTCTTTATCGTCTAAACACTTTAACACGATATCCTTGTGTGCTTGAACATTTTTAGGGTAGGATTTTAGGATTTTTGCCATTGCTAAAAGTCCCAGATATTTGACTAAATGTTATTCAAAAAAAATTTAATCAGAAAATATTTAAATTTACAATTTCGTTATTGGATTGTCAAAATAAAATTAACGTAACTAATTAATCATAATTATTGTTGACCCAAGGTATTTATTTTCGAAAAATAAGAAGGTGTCATAGGAAAACATCATTATATATATAATCAAACATAAATTTAGACTATAAACAGACTTAAACTCAGCGTAAACAAATAAAATTGATGATAACTATAATTAATTTAGGTGAAATAACAATTTTTAAAAAAAACTTATGCCAAAAAAATTTTAAAGCGATATTTGATCCAACTCAGCCCGTAATATTGAAAAAATATAAAAATGCGTGAAGCAAATATCTAGAAACTTAGAATGCGAATTTCAATTTAAAAATAAGGAATTTGTCATTCATCAAATAATGACCTAAATTAAATGAGTCAACAAATTATATAAATATTGACTAAGTCATATTTAGGCGTTCTCTGGGAAAAAAACGTGTTTTGCTTAATTAGAGAATATTTTAGAGGCGGGCGAATTAAATCTAGGCCTGCTAATCATGCCATGCCGGCTGACGCCGTTAGTTAAAGCAGGAAATAATGGTCTTAATTATATTCAACTTACGATTTTGGTCACTATCTTCAATCAAAATGCGTAGTTTTTGGAGGCAAAGCTATTATTTATATGTTTTTTTATAAATAATTTTAGATTTAGTATATTGCAGAGTATCATTTAAAGCTTGCGAGTAAGCCTCTGAAAACTATTCGGTGTTGATTAAAAAATTTATGAATACGGATAATAAATTGAAAAATTATCCGACGAATAATTACAATTCAGTTTTCTGGAGGCCTACTTGTAAGGTAAAGGTATCATTGAAACATTTGTAATATATCATTTTCTTTTTTTAAAAAAAAATATCTAAGTGTATCATTTTCTAAAGTTTTAAATTATATTTTTGCAAGTTAGAAATAAAACTTCAAGTTTGGATGATAAAATATTAAATTTTATACTAACTTGGATGGAGGCAGAATGGTTGGGTTGTCCGGAAGATATACTAACTAATACTTTTTTTTAAATTTAAAGAAAAATGAAAAAATATTTTTAGTTGATAGGGATTAAGTGGATGGGTTACATTCAGAGTTGTTAAACCCTACTTTAAAAAGTAGCGCGCTACCGTTATCTCTCTTTGTCTAAAAAGGTAGCGCGCGACTGCTAACGCTACTCATCAAAAAAAAGTTCGCTATAACAGTAGCTTTGGCTACTTTTTATAAAAAAAAATTTAAATATTTTTTGGTTTAATCCACAAAAATCAAATTTTAAATATAGTTAGTTATTGATTATAAAAAATTTTATGTAAAAAGACTAAAATTAATGTAATAAAAATAACTATTTATGATAATATTTATTTTTTATTTATTTTGTTACATTTCAATAATAAAATCATTTCCATAATATCATCCCCAAGTCTAGAGCGACGATCAAAAAGTATAAGATTTGCCTTACTAAATAATCTCCTCAACACAAATACCTGAGGTAAAGGCAGTATTCAATTTCATATAAATATTTTCAATATAAGAAAAATTATAAAAAGTAATCATTTGAGTATTTTTAGATTTAAAAAAGGCATCTAGGGGATTTTCTATTATATTGGAAACCTTTCAAAAAATTATCAGTGGAAGTCGTTTTTGGTTCTAAATAGAGCATCTAAGTTTGGTATTCGTCTATTCACTTTTACCATGAGCCAATCACGTTGATCTTTAGATTCATCGATTAAAGCATCTTTCATCACTTCAAAATTATCTGCTATCTTAATCACTAGGAGGGGATAGAGTTCGTATCATCATGGTAAATGATGAATTATCAAACAATGACATTGCTGAACTGTATCAATTATAAAATCGACAGTGACTTTAACGACCAGTTTCTGAGAAATATTGGCATGTGCACTATTATTAATTAATTAAGTTTGAATTGAATTGGTTTTGAATGTAATCTCCCCTATATCAAAATTATTAAGATGTTTTTCTATCTCTTTAAAACTGTTGGCATGAACATTCTTACAAAATAAAAATACCATTAGAATTTAAAAATGACAATCACCTTTACGTGTTTTTTGACGTTATAGCTACTAGATTTATTTGAGGATATATTTTTTCAACATTTTAAGCAAATAAATTTTTATCTACCTTTTGTTTAGACATTAATTTGAAAATATTTTTTAAATTTTGGAAATAAAAAATTTGTATTATTGTTAACGAGAACACTTCCAGGGTACCTTCCGCTTCATTAATATTATCATTGTCTAACTCAATTACATCGATTTCGATATCCATTTGCGATGACATTTTAAATCATTCACACCAGATGATTTAAGTCTATAATACAAATTGAAAATATAAATTACAAATTGAAAATATAAATTACAAATTGAAAATATAAATTACAAATTGAAAATATAAATTACAAATTGAAAATATAAATTACAAATTGAAAATATAAATTACAAATTGAAAATTTAAATTACAAATTGAAAATATAAATTACAAATTGAAAATATAAATTACAAATTGAAAATATAAATTACAAATTGAAAATATAAAATATAAATTAAAAATTGAAAATATAAATTACAAATTGATATATAAATATTAAATTACATAATACAAATTAAAAATATAAATTACAAATTCAAAATTAAATAATAAATAAAAATCATAAATAATTATATTATATTTAAATTTTCATGTTTACAATTACATTCTTTATATTTTTTGAAAGTAGCCAAGTAGCGCAAAAAGCTCGTTATTAGCTATCGCTACCAAAAAATATAGAGCGATATAGTGGCGAGCTACTTGTAGAACGCTACTTTATAAACTCTGGTTATATTAGATGATAAAACGTCAGAGACGGGTCCCGTCCAAGGTTAGAGTCTTTAGAACACGTCCCGCCATGGAATAGTTTTGGGACGTGTCTCTTTGAAAAGAGATAGAATAATTTTTTATAATTAAAAATAAAAAAAAATATATCATAATTTTAAAAAAAATATTTTTTTTACAATTAGTATTAGTATGAACATAAAAATGTATAATATTAAGATTTTAAAAAATCATATATTTTTAAAAATTAATTGGAGAGAAAAGTGAAGGTAAGCGTCTCCGGGAGGGATCCCGTCCTAGTAAAACGTCTTTGGGACTAGTCCCGTCCCAAGGTATAGAGTCTATGGGAGGCGTCTCATCCTAAAAATTAAAGATGAGATGAACGTTTGATCATCACTAAAGGCGGAGTCCTATATTCTACTTAAATGTTTAAATATCATGGATAACCTTTTCTTAATATATTTTAAAGTGGGTGAACCAATCACATTTAAAAATAATATATGTTAAAAATTGTATTAAGAATGTTAAAAGATATTGAGAAAAATTAAGTTTTGAGTTTTTACTTAAAAAGAACAAAGTGATATTAAGCCTATGCAATCAACTCAAACTAATTATAAAAATAATGATTTCACCTGCTAAAAGGGTATTAATGCATTCGTATAATAATGACATGGCTGATGTGCTAAAAATTTAAAAATTATTTTTAAAAAAAATTATTAATGCATCATTTGGAGCAGAAAAAAATATAGTACAAAAAGTATATTTTGTATTTAAATATAAAAGTATTATTGTATTATTATTATAACCTGTGTATCAAATTGGTAAGAGGCTCCATCAATCGTTTTCCCAGCCTTGGTTCAATGGGAGTCAAAGTGCCAAACTATAAAATATCAAAGGTCAGATACAGAATACAACATATGAGATATATTTATTAAAATAAAAGAAATGATTGCATAGAAATATTATTTAACAATTAATAATTACATCCTAAAATGCATTTTAAATGGGAAAAAAAATATTAGTTTTAACATTATCATTGTGTCAAAAATTATTATAATAGATTAATTTATGCTCGACAATAGGTATGCCATTTGGAGTTTACCAAAATTGTTTTGGTATTTTTTTTTAAAAAAAAATAGGAAATCTGGTTATGAAATTAAAATAATTCTTGGTAAAACTTTTAACTTTTCTTCAATTTAGAGACATACTAATATTAGTATTTTCATTAAATTTAGAGAATTATTTAATTTTTTTTTACCAATTTGATAATTTTAATCAGCATCCAGTTGTTGGTAGAATTGGTCATAAGTTTGAAGAAAATGGGAGCTAAACTTAAATAATTTTTTGGATTTCTTCTGGCCATTTCACAGATAACATTAACAACGGCTGATTGAACACCTTTTTTTAGAAGCAATAATATATAACATATTAATAAATATAATTATAAAGAGCAATAGGAGTCCTACATCAGAATAAGTACGTTGATCACTCAATAAGTGGCTTGAGATATTTATTAAAAAATTGGCTCTACCAGCCCACGTAAATTAATAATATAAATTCCCCATTTCTCCTCTCCCTGATTCAATTTCACATTCAAAAAATGAATGAAAAATCAAGAAGAGTTAGAAATAAAACAAGTGCTTAAAAGTAGGCCCAAATGACAAGACAAAGTTAGAGAAATGTTTTTTCCCCTTCAAGACAAAAAAAGAATGATTTTGTAGGGCCTAAGAAAAATTAATTGTGTCATATTATATTATAGAAATATAAAACAAAAAGGGTTTAATTTGATGTTAGAAATAGGATTTAATAAATTGTTTTAAATGTAAATTATTATAAATAAATCATTTATATAATATAGATTTAAGATATATTCTCTTTATTGTAGAATTTTATATAATAAAATACTTTGATCAGGATCTTCTAATTTCTCTCTCATCTTGGCAAAAGCAGAATCTAATGCTTCTGGATAATTAAGAAAAATTTTATACATCATCAAAATAGCCCTTTTACGAATATAAGGTTTTGTTGAAGACATCTATAATTTCATTGTAAATTTTAAAAAAGAATCAAAATAAATTTATAAAATATTTTTTACAAGACTAGTAATATCATGCGCTAAATCTCTTGCTAAATCAGAGGTTATAAAACAAGATAATCCATTTAAAGCTATTGCAGCTTCATATTGGTTACTGCTATTAATATCCTGATTATTTAATTCATTATTAATAAACATTATTTCTATATACCTTTTTAATTAAATTTGTGGTAAGCATTAGTACATCAATATCAGGATTAAAAGACTGGGCTGCAGATAAATATCCTATTCTCTTAAATTATAAATGATCGGTAATAATTATATTCATTAATAATATCACTTTATGGGTGAATTTGGTAGAACTCATGACTTCAATTATATTAAATGCTGCCCAATGGATGTTATAACCAAGCATCTCTAACTATAAAGTATAAACATTACTTCCATTAATAAAAATAAATATTCACATATATTAATTTTAGAATCGCATTTGACTTTACTGATAAATTATCTTGCTTAAGTTCCAACTTTATCTCATCAATGCATTGTGTAATATATTTAACCTAGGAATTAGTGAATACTTATAGTTTAGATAATCGTACTTCATTCTCTCGATTATTTCTGATACCGCGAATTAAATCAGTAAGATTCTTTTCAAACAATCTTTCTATGTTACCTTTCACCTTTTTATATGCATTTTCCACGTTCATAATTTCATGCAGAATTTAAAGAATTGATGCAAAACATATGGTCAAAAAATCAATTAACAATTATGCTAAGATTCACTTCTTGAATGGAAATATTCTTAGATTATATATTTTATAATACTTAACTGTAATTAAATTTAATTATAACTATCTCATATTTATTCTTTTAAAATTATTTTCTACCTTTGTAAACAACCTATAAAATACACATGATTTTCATTTCTCTTATGTAATTTACTATATATATTATAATGAGGTAGGGTCCTCTTAGAAAAGAAAAAGCAGGGGGAGGGGGGGCAAGACGTAAATTTTAATAGATTGTGAGAGGGGTAGGCACTGGTGTATCTAGAATCACATTTTACCGTTCAAAAATGATTAATAAATAAAAAAGAAATCCATCACCCCATAAATTATTTTTTAGAACCAATTTTACCCCACCGTACCTTAGATGTGCAACTAGGGATAGGATATAGATTGATTTATAAGAATTTTTTACCCAACATGCACCAGAAGGGGATTAAAATGCATTTTTATAAAGTTATTCTTTTATTACTTCCATATGTAACATATTCTTCAGATTTTATATCAGGGTCCGCAAATTTTCCAAGGGTAATCATGATTCATTCACTGTCATTTTAAAAATAAAATTTAACTATAGTAAATATGATAAATGACATTAAATGCAAATTGTAATCTGCCAGCTTTTGTAAAAAAATTCAGTCACGATGGATACTGACCATGTATAATAACGACAATGTATAAGTCTCATCACTGGGTGGGCACATGTAGAGGCTTGAGCCCTCTCAAAAATTTGGAGTTTTTTTTTAATGGCTCCCGAGCACTCTGAACAAAATAAAATATTTTGATAGCCACCTGAACGATGTTTTTAGAATTCTAATGTGTATTACATATAGATTTGATATTATTTTTAAAAAATTAATAGGACTATATGGATATCATAAATTATATTTTCACTATGTTAACAATTGCAATCAAATTCTGCGTTAAAATTATAATATTAATATATTCGTAGTTATAAGAATTTTGTATTATTTATGTATATTATTATTTTAAAACTATACTTTCTTTTTCATATTATAGGATCTTTAGTTCTTGATATTCCATATTAAATAGATATTAAATATGGACATATTATATGAAAAATAAAAAATAATTAAGCATTAATAGTCGTAGCTCAATTAATTTTTATTATTTAAGTTATTATATAATCCTAATTATTGTGATTTGTATTAGCCGAGTTCAAAATCACTAATTAACTATATTAATCATTTATAAATTTAATTTGTTATACCTCTTCCTAAAAACACTTCTAAGATCTCCAAACTAGTATACTAAACTACTTTGTTAAATTAAAACATATTTTACTTTTTTATTTTATATATAATAAAGAAAGAAGACAATGATTTTGAGATGGTTTTTTATAGTGGAAATGGAAGCAATATTAATAATATTTTAGACAAAAGAAGAGGAGGCAGTGAAAGAGTTGTAAAGTATACTTAATTAAACATATTTTACTCATTTATTTTATATTTAATAGATAAAGAAGAGACAATGATTTTTAGATTAATAGAAATGGAATTGATGTCAATAATATTTTAGACAAAGGAAGAGGGGCAAGGTAAGGTAGTTGAACAAAGTGTATTTAATTAAAACATTTTTTACTCATTTATTTTATATTTATAGATAATAAAGATTGATTTTGAGATGAATGCATTAAATAATGGAAATAGAAGCAATATTGCTGTTGATAATATTTTAGACAAAGAAAGATGAGGCCATGAAAGAGTTAGAGTTGAACAAAACATTTAAAATAGTTTTTCAATTTTAAACTATGTTTTAGATAATAAAAGAAGAGAAAATGTATGAGTGTTGTAAACATTGAAAGCAAAATAGTTTAAAGAAGGAAAGTAGATAATTTAATTTACATATAAAATATTTGATTTGTAAAACAACAGAAGCTATGTGTGGCTCATTCTGAATATATCTCTTATATTAAATTTTCTAACGTAATTAAGGATAAAATTTAATATAGGCAATTTTTTTATATTCGAAATCATAAGATATTATAAATTATAATTTAAATATTCTGCGATCGCAGATATTTAATACTGGAATAAATAGAAAAATATTTTGTATTAAAAAAATATCTTTAGCTTATCTAATATCTTGTATTGTTTTACTTATTATAAATATAATATTACTTTAAATGCATAATAAATGAAAAATTTGAAATTTGAATATTAGTTCAGAGTTTCTAAATTTCAATATGAAAAGTATTATATATTTTTAAAAAACCCGGCCAAAGGCCAAGTAAAAGGAAGCCGAAGGCCCGCAAAATAGAAGGTATGGGGTCTTTGCTCCCATAATATTTTTTTTAGTTAAAACCCCTGGGTTTGTAAAGGTTAGTAACGCCCCTGAGTAAAACTACGTTCGATTGTGCAAGTAACAAGATAGATATAAAACAATTCGATTATTTAGGTTTGGATCAACTTTTTGAGTTAATTAATATATAATATGTTTAGGTTTTATTTAATATTTTATGTTCAGTAAGTTTATATAAAACTTAAAAATAATATCTCTATTTATTAATTAAATTTTTTTGAAAAATCATAAGCGGGTGGGTAAATTTTTTTAAAAACCCATGTTAAATAACACTTAGGGCAAATGAGTTAAAAATTCACCAATTTCAGAATTATATTCTAAGCTTCTCGTGGATCTCATAATAAAAATGACGAATTTCCCTATTCTATCCTCTACTCTATAGTTTGTTCAAAGATTATAGATCTCGGACTAAAACATTTATAATTTTTTGGATTGTTTTTTTTCACTGCTCCCTTTACCTTCTTTTCTTTTATTTATTATGTATAATTTTCTTTTTAATTAAGAAAGCCTAGTCTACCTTGAAGATAAAATTTACTTGCAGCATAAAAATTTTTTTTAGAATGGATCTTTTTTAAAGATAAAAACTTATGATATAATTTAGTGCAATGCAATTAGAATAAACTATTACTATTATTTTTGTTTGATGTAATGGAGGGCTAATCTTAAATTATAATTTCTAAAGAAAGAAAAAATTTTCTAAAAAGAAGTCTTGAATGACAGGACACTATTGATGATTTTGTTTTATTGTTTTATAGCTTTATTATAGGAAAAAAAATATTATTCGAAATACTCACAAATTTTAGATATTTCTTTTGTAAAAAAAAAATAAGACAAACTTTATAAATCATATATAAGCTCGTGGTTTTATTCTACCAATTGTCACAATAATTGGAAATATTAATAGCAAAATGAATATTAAATACTATAAAATTTACCAAATAATTTAACCCATTTTCAACACTGAAAATTTTCATCTAAGTAATTTTATACTTTTTTAAAAAAAATTACATTTCATTTTTCAGTTTTTCTAGTGGTCATCTTAGACCTTTTTAAAATAATTTTGATGAATATGGGCTAGAAAAAATATTAGAGACCTGCAGAAAAATTATTTGATATTAACACTTTAAAAAATAAAACTGGGGCCAGTTCGATTATAAAAAATAAATAAATTTTATCAAATAAGTTAGGTTAAACCTTAATTAATTCAAAAGATTAAAATATATAATGTATTAGTAAAACTATAGAGGGTGTGCCCCCTTTGAAAATTTTCCAAGAATTAGTAAGGATAACTTTAAAGCTAATATTATACATACCTAAACCAAAAATTGAAAAATAATGCGATTTTGAAATTTAAATTTCCCAGGAAAAAAAGTCATTTTTTTAAGAATAAGTGATAAATCAAAATGATATTCTAAATGAAACTCCATCGAAGGCCTACAGTGAAGAGACCTAAAAAATTCTTTCCCTCGCTTCTAGAAAATTTCGTAATAGTCCGATAATATAATGTATAAAATAATGACGGATCAAAGGACATTCTAAAAAATGCCCATAGAACATTCTAGTCTGAATTAGTCCGTAAGAAAGCTGCCAAAAGCGCTTTAAAATTATCTTGCCCCAGATTCTAATAGCCATGATTACAAATTAAATTATTTAATTAATCTGTGTTTAAAAAAACTAGTGCTGTAAACATTTTAAAAAAAATCGAACGCGTTCGCGTTCAACGTTCATTGACAAAAATCGAACGCGTTCATGTTCACGTTCAAATTCAAAAAAAGGAACGCGTTCAAGTTCGTGAACGCGTTCATGCGTTCAAAATTTTATGATAAATTTTTTTTTAAATTTAATTTAATATAAATAAATGCCTTATATTTTTCGACCCAATATATTAGCCATGATAAAAAATAATAGTTTTATTTTGATAATATAATTATAAATACAATATAATAGAGCGATAAAAAAATAAATTTATAAAAAAATTTTCTTATTAATTTTTAATAATAATTGCTTTTTAAAATTTTCATCTGATAGGCATGAACGCTTGGCACTTAATACAGCGTTAGCTATACTAAAAACTCGCTCAACAGGGGCAGATGAAGGGATTGCGGTGTTATACTTGATAAACATTCTTTTAAAAGGGGGAATTTATTAAAAACATTTAATGTTTTATCCATTGTCTCAAAAAATTGAGCTATGTTATCATCCTCCAATCTGCCCTCTTCTTCCTCGTCAAAAAAAAAAGGATATCTCGGAATTGATTTTAAAACAGTGAAATATTTTTGATAGGGCCATGGTAATTCTAATTCATCTAATATTGAATTTTTATTTTCAAAATCTGATGATGAAATATTTATATCCTTGCAAATCCTAATCTATTAAATTAAAATATAAAATATTCAAATTAATAAACTTTAATCTTATCTTCTCTAGCAGTAGCACGTTATGGTACGTTAATTGCAATATGAAAGAGGAAAAAGTAAAAACAGCTGATTAAAAAATATAAGACTTTTTTGTTAAAAAATTGGATTAAATATTAATTTTTCAAATAAATAAAAATATAAGACTTTTTTGTTAAAAAATGCGGATTAATATTAATTTTTCAAATAAATAAAAATAA